TGCAGCATCAAGTATGCCACACATAATACGGACTACATTTGTTTCAATGCTGATGTTCTGCGAAATACCTGATCCTAATGCTCTATTTGAATCTTCATGGAGGTTAATGAGTGAAGATCATGTTTATTCTCTTCGTAAACAGCTACACTCAAAAAATTTCAAGCCTTCAGATGAGAGACTTAAGAATTGGGTGTTACATCAACTGGAAACTTTACTGAGGACTTATGGTTCTTCACTTCAGCAATTACATCTCCCAAGACCGACAGATTCAGAACCTGACGATGGATCAAATCCCCTGATTAATGAGCATCTTAACTTTGATGATGATCAACAAAGGTTACTGGCAAATACTATGGTTAGCAAACTGAACACGAAACAGCTAGAGGCTTTCACACTCATTATACTCTCTATCAACAACAACCTTGGCAGTTCATTTTTCCTATACGGCCATGGAGGAACAGGCAAGACTTTTCTCTACAATGCAATCATTGCAAAATTAAAAAGTCTTTCCAGAATTGCTATAGTTGTTGCCTCAACTGGAATAGCAGCACACTACTACCAAACGGCACAACTGCTCATTCAAGGTTCAAGATTCCCCTTCATATAGACCATGCATCTACATGTTCCATAAAGAAAGGTACTCATTTAGCTGGGCTAATACATGCAGCTTCATTGATTATTTGGGACGAAGCACCGATGACACATCGAAATGCATTTGAGGCTATAAGCAGGACGTTTTGTGATTTGATGGACATACCACTATCAGGTCCAAAACACCAGTTGTTTGGAGGAAAAACAGTAGTCTTTTGTGGTGATTTTAGACAGACTCTACCAGTAATTTCAGATTCAGGAAGGGAACAAACAGTTGATGGATCCATCACGAGGTCATCGTTGTGGCCCTTTTTTAAGGTGCTCAAACTGTCAAGGAACATGAGGCTTAATGATTCACAAGATAATAGAAACCTGGTCGGCTGTGGAATGAACTTTGGTGAGTGGATTCTGGCGCTGGGAGATGGAAGGCTGCCAACAAAATCCTTTATGGCAAACACACCTTCAGATTGGATTGAGATACCACAAATACTCTTGATATATGCTGGAAAAAATCCAATCGAGTCAATCACAAATAACATATATGACGCATTTGAGGAACAACACATGAGCACAGATTACCTAAGTGGAAGGGCAATCGTTACTCCTACTAATGCAGTTGTGACTGAAGTGAATGACTTCATGTTGCAAAAAATTCCTGGACATTGCCGTTGCTACTACAGTTCAGACTCTATGCAACTTGATACAGAGGTACCTCAGCTATTTGCTGAAACTTACCCAACAGAATTTTTGAATGCTCTTCAGTTCAATGGTGTTCCAGATCATGAAATAAGACTTAAGGTTCACACTCCAATCATGTTGCTAAGAAATTTGAGCCCACCAAACGGCCTATGCAACGGTACGAGGATATTGATTACGAAATTGGGGGAAAATATCATTGTAGGAAACATCATGGGAGGATCTTTTGACACAAAAGAGGTTGTTATACCACGAATAGTACTCAACGTAGAAGACAAACGCTGGCCCTTTATACTGAAGAGGAGGCAATTCCCAGTACGTTTATGTTATGGGATGACTATAAATAAGAGCCAAGGCCAAACGCTGGACAAGGTTGGAGTCTATTTGCCTAAACCAGTATTCAGTCATGGACAACTTTATGTGGCGGCATCAAGAGTAAGATCTGCAGGTGGTTTGAGATTCTTGATTGAAAATGAAGAGGACATTCCAGCCAATTACACAAGAAACATTGTATATTCAGAAACCTTCACAGATATTGCACCTGGTTAATTTTGCAAGCATCGAAGAAGCTCGAAGTGATTATTATGAACTCTCCCAACTTTTTGAATTTTACGCCTGGAAAAATTTGTTCTTCCAGTTCTTGCGTTGTTCTTAACAAGAGACCCATTTTGTATTTTTTATTTCGAAACTCAAAGCTAGAAAGCATTCATGAGTTTTTATCAGTTAACATCGGTTCGGACTATCCAGAGAGAACTTAGAAAGAAAATCGATGAGCCCAACTGATACAACTTGACAGAACAATCATCGCAGGAGCGTATTGTAGCCTTTTCTGTAAAAAGGCCTGATTCAACAGTTAGAACCCATTGCATATCATACAGAACCCAAACACGATGTCAAGGCCCAAACAATCGATCCAAAAAGGACTTACCCTAAGTTAACCCTAGCTTACATAAACTACCGATTGTTTTTTATGCCTTCTAGAATCGGCCGCGCAGTCAAGATACAAAAAAAAAGGGAAACCAGGGTCTCGAAGAACTGGAAGCTTTCTTCTACCCAACAGATTTACAGTTGTATAGTACAACTGATACGTGAGATTCCATGGACCCACACAAAATGGACCCGAACGAACTGAAAGGTAAATACATTGAATCTGGAAAGAAATCCAACAAACGCATCTCGATTCCTATGCGAGTTTTTTCCATTTATTATTTATCGATTCGTCTTTAATCGCGTTGCAGAGTCCATTGATTCAAGCATGTGCTTTCGGGTACTGCGTTTGGGAACAAACAATCGAACCGTTATAGCTAGACATGTCGTTACATGGACTGAGTTCCGAGAAGTGCCTTTATCCACATGGAAGAAAAGGACACATCACATGCTCTGGCTTGACAAAAAGGTTTGACTCCAGATACCCCAACCATATTCATAAATATTCGTCAGAGCATTTGATTCAGTGTTAAGACAAAAGAACTTGCCAATATACGAACCCTAAACATCAATTAACCTACTGGCGAATGCTAAAAGATCAAAAACTCTTGACAACATATATATCTACCATTGAATTTACAGAACAAGTTGATCGAAGCTCAGGTTGAAGAAGAAGATGCAGCTGAGGTTTTTAAGAAAATCATGGTTGGCTGCCTGCATGAACTACAAGATATTGTAGCAGGTCCAGCAAGGTCAGTGCAACGCATTGTCCATCGAGAGTTCCGCCTGCTCCTCACTTCAGATCAAATTAGGAGGCACATTGAAGAAGGATATGGACCCCAGCAATTCCCAGTAGGATCATACACAGCAGCCGATTTTTCCATTGTGCCTCAAACATCAGAAGACTTTGTCTGCCATTCAGGTAAATATATGTCTCTCTATCCATGATTAAGAACACCATTAAACAAAGCATAACAAACATTAAATCTGTAGATGTTACAGGATGTGTTAGAAGACTAACTCATCCAGAAACAATTAAAGGAAGGATTCAGAAATTCGACCTGGTCATACAAGATGTCTGGTATGCTCTTAAGATTGTACACTTTTTTTTACTTTGTAAAAATGTATAGTTAACGCATTGCTTTGCAATCAGTGGGGCAAAGGCTTATGTTGAATACAGTGGCATGACATTGATGATTTTCAAAAGCATGCTCCAGCAATTGAGTCAAAGTTACCATTGATTGTGACAATCAAATCAGTTAGTAGAGTAACTCCTAGACATAACAGTAAGTATCAGCATGAATTTCGATCCACAATTGCAAGTAAGCTCATCATCTATTCTTATCAGGACTGCTGCAAGGATATCATGAACATGTGAGTTGCTGTATATGGGTTTACCCAACTGATTAGTTCAACTACTATCGAGTTAGTGATACTTACACATTTCTTTTCAACATGTAGCTTTCTTGCATGTCGCAAACCAGTTTACTTCATCGATGATGCTACTTGCAAAAAAACTTGACACCTGCTGAGCAATCAACTGCAAAAGAAATCGCTGAGAGAGATAAAAGAAAGGATGGCATGGAGGACCTGTCAGATTTCACAGAGGTAAACGAACAAACACCAGCATTGACATCAGCTGTATATTTCCATATGTTTACCTGTATAATACATCTGACAGTTTTTGCAACAGGTTACTTACATGACATTGATTAACGTTTCCAAGGTTTATATACAGAAAAAGCATCTGCAAAATTCGTGGAGAGAACACAGGGTAAGCTTTTGACCATTCTCCCATGTTTACACATGCGATAATAATACTCTTTGTATAAACCTAACAAAAAGATCTTTATTGCAAGACTGACATACAAACTGGAAGGGAAATGTCGCCAAGGAGGATCTGAAATAGATGTGGTGTTTAAGCATGAAGCAGCTCTGTCACTTATTCGTAAGTCACCGTCAGATTATCAGTTTCTGAAGAAGGACCAAATCATCGAATTGATCGCAAAGAACTGTAACAAAAAATTTGCTGCGGAATTGAACATCGCATGGAAAAAAGTGGGGGACAGTGATTCAGACATTCAACCAAAAGCGACAGTGCTCACCCTGTGGGACCGATCAGCATTCGAGAAATGATGTTGTCCTTCGAAGCTTGCCATTTTGATATCGTCCAAACCACAAAGGCACGAAACTTCTGAAAACATTTTGTCCTGCTGTTTTCCGAATCTTCAGTCTCCGCCATGGAACTTTTATTAGTTTAGTAGATATATCGTGGAAAACTTGGCCACACTCCTAACTACATTCATGTTTATTCTGCAAACCCAGTCAATCTTTTGCATAATGACCGCAGTTTTTATGTTTATGACAACATTTATGTCTATATTTAGGACATAACGATTATGGTTATAGATTATATTAAATCCCATTTAAATTATGGCAGAAATAGTATCTCGCAGCGGAGCGCAGGCTGAATCCTAGTCTAAATAGAAACGAATAACAAGATGTGTCATTCCTAAAAAGAATATTAATATGTTATTCAAAATTTTGGATAGCAAAATATTTCCCAAAAAGTTGGGGGAAATCTTAATTAAAACAACAACAAGAAAAACTCTAAGCTTTACGTACAGGACAAAAATGTACACATATTGCCAAAGATGTAGGAAGATCATTTCTCCCATTTTACTCGCACAAAGAAGCCCTCGCCTTTACTATCGCCCCCGTTTACTAATCTCTTATTAAGGATTCAAGTAACCACATTCATCTCTTCTACCTTGTCCATCTCAAAAATGGGGAGCCAGCCCGAATCTCCGTTGTTGCCCCAACACCATATAAAGAAACCCACATACGCCGCCGCCGGCGTCGTCTTCCCCAAACCCACCGACGATCCTCCGCATCCGCCATCAACAACATCCCTGCCACCTTCGCCGCCGATTGACAACGATGTTCCTAACGACGTTAAACCGGAACCCGAATTCGAATGCTCACCCCGCTGTCTCCGTGTCACCACCGTCCTCGGCGTACTCCTGCTCATCGGCATTCCCATCTATTACGTGATAGAAGACCAATTGGCGCCTTACTCCCCCAAAGCCGACGTCGTTTCGGCCTTCGTGTCAATAAAAAAATCCAACACCAGCAATGGGCCCGCCTCGGGCCGGTTGACAGCCAATTGGGCCTTCACTCTCCGTCTCGACAACTCGCTCCCTTGCTGTCAGGCCGTGTACCCGTACCGAGTCGAGGCTTCCGTTTATCACCAGGCCGACGGCGGTGAGGGCCCGGCCCGTGACCGGCGCGTGCTGGCGTCGACTCGTCAGTTTGCGGGGTTGAGCGTTGACCCGAAGGTGGACGATCTGACGTTTTTTATTCAGTTGGGAGCGGAAGGAGCGGACGTCGGGGAGAATGTGACGGCGGCCGTTTATAGGGATCTGGCCGAATTGGAACAGAATCGGTTGCGGTTCAGAGCTGTGATTCTGGTTTGGGTGAGGATCGAACCGTATAACTTCGGAAACCGGTATTATATGGCTCGGATTAGTTGCGACCCGTTCTGGACCGGTTCGGCTAGTATTGCGGGCAAGTCTCTCGATGACAATAAGGAGTGTCAAGTCCACGTGTAAGTATACAAAAAATTCTTATCATATTAGTAAAATTGTGATCGGGAGTCGTAAAATTGCAAAACACGGAATTTTATAGGTTTTGCTACTTTGATTTTGCATTGGAAGCCAGATTTGTCAATATATGTAATGTATAATTGTATGTTATTGTTGAGCAGGATTGAACAAAGCCACCCAAGTTCCTTGGATCAAAATCGAACAAGACTCAACACTACAACAGTAAAAATTACTAGTGGGGAAGTGAAGCTCTGAGTTGCCCAAGTGTTGTTTTTACTTTTTACTACGTCTGAACTTTTGTAAGGGTAGAGTAAATATGGAGATAAATGTTGGTTTTTGGATTTGATCTTATGGTAAGGAGTTGAGGATCTTAGATGGATAATTTATTTAGAGGTTTGTTTGGCAAGCCTGTATTCTAAATGGATGTTCAAGAATATATACTCTTTTTTTTTTTTCTCTTTCATGTTTTGTACCAAATTTTTGGTATCAGACAACTCATTTAATAGAATGCATGATAATCACTTCCAGGACAAACTTTAGCTTAATCCAAAGATTTTGAGAATTTATTATAAATAAAACATTGAACTATACTATTAAATAAATTATTACTATCTCACTTACAAAATATAAAAAATTAAAATTTTATTATGCTATACATACTTGTCAAATAAAATTAAATAAGTTATGTACCGATGATAAACATTCTCATTTATCAAGAAAATGAAAACAAACTATAGACAACTCTCTATAAGCATAAATGAAGTGGCAATCCATGGCGGAATTAATGGAAGCCGTCGGGAGAATTCCTTTGCAGTTCGGAATTTTAGTTCTAGTTTAGATGCGACTCAAATCGTATGACTTACGTAATCGGTATTATATCGTTCATATTTATTGTGACCCATGAATTAGATCTTCCAGTAATACATGCAAATAGTCCCTGAACTATTCAAAAAATTCCAATCTAATTAAGTCCAACTGTAAGTAAAATATATTAACTCGACAAAAGAGAAATTTTTTAGTTTTATTAATCTGCAAACAACAGAATAACATGAGTTACGGTACAACAGCTACAAAATCATATTACAAGATACTTACATATAATTAATGGAATAGATTACACATTTTTTTGTTATCAAAATGTTATTAAGTTAAGTAAAGGAATGTAGTTAAGAGAAAATAATAACTTTTTTTTAATCACAAGAATTAGTGTGTTGGATGTATGGTTAAGTGTTAAGTATAATGCGTAGCCAAAAGCAGGAGTTCCTCTGGAAAGAGATAATATGTCAAACAACTACACCTATATAAGAAAGAAGAGCTATTAGCACCCAATCTAAACTTCCACTCCTAATTTGTGATCCGAACAAGCTACTTAGGTAACTATATATATCTCTGACCATGACATTTTTTTTGTGTGAAACGGAGCGCTTAAAGGGCGCTTCAACCTTTATTCATGAACTGCACGAGGGGTTTGAACCCCAATGATATCATAATACAACCAGTAGGCTAAAGTACTGTCCGGGTTATCAAAAACATGTAAACCAATAGGCCAAATATGACCTATGGAAGCAAGATGATCTGCCACAACATTGGCTTCTCTGTAGACGTGTTGCCAGTCTTTACTTAACCAGCTTTTGATTTCCGCAACCGCTGTGAAGTGTGGATGATGGTGTGTTGCTTTCTCGATGATGCTCATAGCTGCTGCTGAGTCTGTTTGTAGGAGAACCTTCCTAGCTCCAGTTTCCCAGGTGAGTCTTAGACCATGCACAATACCAGCAAGCTCTGCACGGGTAATGGAACCTCCCCCAAGATTCACCGCAAAGGCTTTGATGAAACGGCCATCGCCTCCCCTCACGATGCTGCCTGCAGCCGTGAACATTCTTTTATATTTCATTCATGAAAAGAGAAACGAAAAAATATTTATCTATACTCTATTGGTAGCTCCTCATCTTCATCATTGTACGTTTATCCTTATCACCTTAAATCATATGTCTACATCACAAAATTTCCTTCACTAATCCCATTGCATGCTATACACCCAGTGGCGGAGCTACGTTGAGTCTAAAAAGCGATATAGCTCCTACCTGTGTTAATTCATGTGTAACATTTGTAACAAATTTTAAAAAGAAATTAGTTGATAAGGTTCTAAACTCCCTCCTCAATAACCATTGCTCAAATCCATAAAAGCAACAACAAATGTCATTACAATTGTTACTTTTTTTTTCCACTTCATCAAACCAATCTAGTCTCTCCTTGCTCCAAACATAGATAAATTGGCGAGAATTTTGTGATTGCTGCCGTAGATGTAGGCTAGTGGTTAAGTAAGTTACAAAACATGGCAAAAAATATAAAGTAATGAGATCAGATCATTAATGTCTGTCTCCCCTTTGACTCGCTCAAGAACTAGCTAGTGGCACGACCATAGGAATGGCAATTGGCATGTACGTGGCGGGTATCTCGATACTCATACCCGCCTCGTGACAGGTCGGGTACAAGTCGGGTAATTTATCATGGACGCAGGTCAGCGCAGGTCGACCCAATTTGGGTATGTAATTTATATGGAAAACATTAGAAATATTAGGTATTTTCACTATAAAACCAAGAAACAAATCATAATATGATAAAATATAGTTAAATTATTGGAGAAATTGAGGTTTTCACTAATTTACAACTTTATAACAGCTAAAATATGATGTAATAAAAATAAAATCCTAAGTAATTTGACTAAAAATTATATGTAATTTAATCAAGAACAGGTCAAGAATGGGGTGGGTCAGGGCAGATCGGGTGGATGAGAATACCTGTGCCCGCCCTGCCCCGCCTACGGGGCGGGTCGGACCCACTCCTAAACAGTTCAAATAGATCGGATAAAATGGATCAGATCGAAATTGCCATTCCTACGTGACCACAATGATCGTTATTAAGGATTCAGAATTCATGAAAAGAAAGAATCAGATTAATTCGTCGTCTCCTTCTTCTAGCCACGCATCCAAAAAAATGGACACCTTGACGTCATCATCATCATCCGAGCCTCAATCTCCACTATTGCCCCTACAACATCACAATGCGAATTCGCCGTCCGCCACCGCCGCCGATCCCACCACCACCGTCACCGATCCGCCGCCGCCACGGTCCCTATCGGCTGTTGACCACTATAAGGTGAACAGAGATCCCACTTGTACAGAATGTTCGATCATGTTACTCCTAATTTTCCTTTTCTTCGGTGGTCTCTCAACTGTTTTATTATATGGCGAATCCAAACCATACTCCCCCTCCGCCGACGTGATTTCGGCCTTTGTGTCAATCGAGAAGAACAACCACAACAACAATGGGTCCACTTGTGTCAATCGAGAAGAACAACCACAACAACAATGGGTCCACTGGTCATGTGGGCAGGTTACTGACGGCCAATTGGGCCGTCACTCTTCATCTTGACGACTCCACTTTTTGCTGTCAGGCGGTTTATCCGTACAAAGTCGAGGCTTCCGTTTTTCAGGCCGCCGGCAACGACTCCTCATCATCATCGTCAGCTGGCGGTGGTGGCCAGCAATATCTGCTCGCTTCCACTCGACGGTTCACGGGTTCGACCGCCAAACCGGGGCAGGACCACACCACATTTTCGATTCAATTGAGAGCGGAAGAAGCAGATGTTGGGGAACATGCGGTGGCCGATGTCATAGAAGCGGCGGAGGGCAATCGGCTGCGGTTCAAATTATTGGTGCTGGTTTGGGTACGGGTTAATGACCGATATTATTTAGCGCGAATCGGTTGCGATCCGGTTTGGATCGAATCTTCCAGTTTCACAGTCAGGGAGTTCCGGAAGAATACAAAGAAATGCCAAGTACAAGTGTAAGTACAATTTTTTTCTAATTATTACTACTCGACAGAACTATATGAGTATACGTACATGTTGATAATCTTTTCCTATACATAATACCAGTGGCGGACCCAGGAATTTTACACAGGGGTGTCCTCTTTCAAAAAATAAAATAAAGTAAAATAAAAATTAAATAATTAATAATTAATAAAAATTATATTATTCTTTAGTAAGAAAATACCCAACTCGTACAAGTTAAAAAAAAGTCAATGATGTATTTTCATATTCTAAAAAAATTATAAAAAATACTTGGTGTATACACTGCTCAACAAATTTGTCTCGGTATATCCTACTAGACGATCATTCACGAGCTTACGCATATTTGAATTCTAAATTTGTTCATGATGTAACTCAAAGCTGAAAAAATACTTTCAACACTTGTCGTACAACCATAAGATCAATACAAATTAAGGGTAACTTGTAATTAGATTAATTGTTAGGTTTTGAAAATAATTAAAGATAGATAATAGAGTTTTGCTATTACACAGTGTTTAGAATATTAGTAATAGTAGTGTCTCGGGTTTGAATTACCCAAACTACCACTTATATTCTCATACGCAAACTACAAACGAGAGTAGTATAATCGTTTTCAAATTTTAGGGTGTCCCAGACTATTAGTTATAATTTTTTTGTCTATACGTAAATTACCACCGGGGTTGGATAATCGATCTTCCAAAATTTAGGGGTGTCCCGGGACACCCCTAAATGCCCATGGGTCCGCCCCTGCATAATACTATGTGTATCGATCGTATCTCATGTGAATTATTTGGTTGAGCAGGACTTTGCAAACCAAACCAATATCTTCAGATTAGAAGCGACGGATATCGTGCCATGAATGACGTTAGCTCGGAGCCATTTTGGCTTCAGCGGTTGCTTTTGAACTTTGATGTTACTTGTGCTTCTTCTATGTCTTTGTTTGTTGACAATATGAGTGGCATCCGGACTGCTGTCAACCCTGTTCTTCATGACAGAACAAAGCATATGAAGATAACATTCAGTCATTCACTATGTGCATGACTTGATCAATGAAACTGTTATGGTTCTTCACTATTTGCCTATTGATGAAGAGCAACCCGGGGAACTATAATATTTTTTATATTAAATTTTGTATGCTTTATTCTTAATATGAAATAGGTTGCATACAATCAGCCATGAGGAATCACCAAAATTTGGGCCGGTCAACTCAAACATCATCTTCGTCCCAATTACAAAGTGTATTGGCCATTAAATAGGTCGCTTTGTTATTGTAACGGCCTGAAGAACACATGTCACTCCGACTCATTGAATTAGAGAGATCTCTAAACTCGTGCACACGTTTCCTAACTCCGTCTTCTCCACCTTCCTCGCATATATATTTGTTGCACATAAAACATACACTTTTATGATATGCTATAATTAAATTTTTTATAAGGGTGATACAACTTACAAGTTTGTTTTTTTTTAATTAGGTGCTAATAACAATATACTGTTACCGATTGGTTTGATATAAAAGTAAAATATTGGGTACTAGATTTTAAATTATTACAAGGAGTCTCACATCTTTTTGTGAAAGTTGATATCTCAAAATATTGTGCAAAATGTTCTTTTGTGTGGTGTTTATTTATTATTATTTTTTTCCAAGTAATATAAAAAACAATAGTTAAATCCTCTACCCAAAAAGACAATTAGTGGAGCCACCCTACAAAATCGAAGGACGCTATCTCTACAGGGGACAACAGCAGGGCTTGTCTTGCCACTCTATGGGCAGCCCAGTTGACAGTCCTCGGGACCGAACTAAAGAGAATACAAGAAGAAGAGGATCTCAACAACTGACAACAATCACGAAGTAAGGGCCCTCCCACCGAGTCTTCACAGCATCTACCATCAAGTTGCCGGACAACCACTTCTGAATCACCTTCAATAATGGCGCGGGGAATACTGCGAGAAAGCACCACAGATATGGCATCCCTGGCGGCTAGCAGCTCTGCAAGATAAGGATTCGAAATCCCTGGATGGTGGAAACCCAAGGCCAAAAAGACTTGCCCATCCGTTCCTCGAACCACGAGGCCTGACGAGCTACCCTGGACATGAATAGCGGCATCGAAGTTAATCTTGATAAAACCTTCAGGAGGACCAACCCAACTGGAGAGACGAGAGGACTGGAGGCGGGGAGAGAGTAACTGGGGATGGGGGGAGACTGAGGAATATTCTTGGACTTGGAAGAAAAACTGACGGGCAAGCGAACTGGCTAGTGGTTGAGTGAATTCAAAAACCACTTTGTTTCTAGATTTCCAAATTCTCCAAAGAAGGCAAATGCAGGGGAGATAGTGAATTTGGAAGCTTTCCAAGTTCATAACATGTCGCCACCAGATTCCAAAATTTTCAGTTGGGGCGGAGAGAAGTAGACTGCTTAGTCCCACCATATTCCAGAGGTGTAAAGCAAGAGGACAATGGAAAAAGAGGTGTTCAATATTCTCTTGACTGTCCCAACAAACTGGACAACGAACTTGACAGATTATTCCTCGGGACCTAAGAGCTGTCATAGTCGGTAATATAACTTTCAAACATTGCCAAATAAAGAACTTGAGCTTTGGTGGGACGTCAAGTACCCACGTTCCTTTCCAAATAGGAGGATCAATGATGGAAGCCATCGATTTTTGACTAAGCTTTAAGATATTATCCAAAGCTAGATGATATCCTGTTTTTACCGAATAAGATCCATTTTTGGTAAAATGCCAAATTAACTTATCTTGCTGTGGTAGTATGGGAACTACCATATTTCGAATGAGATCAACTGAATTTTCTTTGAACCAGTGCTTTAATCTAGGGATATGCCATTCCCTTTGGCCTTCTCTGATGAAGAAGGACACCCTCAGATTGTTATTATCCTCTTGCTGCCTAAGCTCAGGAGGGCATGGTTTATCAGCTAATAACCAATTTTCTTTGAAGGCTTCTATGTCGTTTCCATCGCCTACTTGCCATCGTAAGCCTTGCAAGAGGAGCTCTCGCCCATAAAGAATACTTCTCCAACCCGAAGATGGATTAGAGCCAATGGAGGCTTTCAAAATCGTAGTTCCATTGAAATATCTTCCTTTATACAATTGGCTAATGAGTGAGTCGGGGTTTGTCCAAATACGCCAACATAGCTTGGCTAAAAGAGCTTGGTTGAAAGCTCTAAAATCCCTGAAGCCTAGCCCTCCATGAAATTTACTTTGGGCGAGACCTTTCCATGATACCCAGTGTATTGGATGGTCAAAATTAGTAGCAGAGCCCCACCAAAACCTTGCCAAAAGTCCATTTAAACACCTACAAGTATCAACTGGGAATTTAAAGCACGACATACTATGAACTGGTATATTAGTTGCAGAGGACCTGATTAGAGTGTCCTTAGCTGCTTTGGACAGGGTACGTTGTTTCCAACCTTGCAATTTCTTGCCCATCTTTTCTTCAATATAAAGGAACATATCCTTCTTGGTTCTTGGTATTAGAGAGGGAAAGCCTAGATAGGAATCATGTTCTCCTATGGCCCCTACTCCCAACTGCGATCCCATGAGGCTTGCATCTTCATTCTTAGTATTTCTACTGAATAATACTGCCGATTTGGAAAGATTAACTTTCTGACCACTGAGTCGTTTATATTCCTGGAACAAGGATAATAAATTCGAGCAAGAGGTGTGGGAAGCTTGCACGAAAAGGTAAGAGTCGTCAGCGAAGAAGAGGTGAGAAATCATTGGACAGTTCTGACGGATTCTGACTCCTTCCAAAGCCCATGTTTACAGCCTGATTTATCATATCAGAAAAACCCTCTGTGCATATGGCGAACAACAGAGAAGATAAAGGGTCTCCTTGGCGTAGTCCTCTCAAGGGTCTGAAATACTCTGAAGGGGAACCATTAACAAGGATGGAATAAGAGACGGTGGTCACACACTCCTGGATCCAGGAAATGAACTGACTATTGAACCCTAATTCCTTCATCATTTCGAAGAGAAATGGCCACTCAATACGATCATAGGCTTTCTCCATATCTAACTTTAAGGCCATCCAACATTTTGACCCCGAGTAAAGGGTTTTAATATGGTGAGTGACCTCATGACTGATCATAATATTATCTGTGATCTGGCGATCCTTGATGAACCCATTTTGAGATTGAGAGATGATTGAGGGCAAAACCTTGCTAAGTCTATCAGCAAGTACCTTGGATATAATCTTATATACCACTTGGCAAAGGCTAATGGGTCTGAGGTTTTTCATAGTACGAACTTCCGACCCTTTTGGTACTAAGGAAATGCAAGTTCGATTAAAGCTTCTCAGCATTCTTCCGGTATGGAAAAATGTTAGAACTGCCTGAGTAACGTCATGTCCTACTAGGGGCCAATAATGTTGAAAGAAGCCGGCTGTGAACCCATCTAGACCTGGAGCTTGAGTTTTGCCCAAGCTGAAGACCACTTTTTTTATTTCCTCTGCGGTGATAGGAGCTATTAACCCCATATTCTGTTCTTCCGTAAGGTAGTTTGTGAAAACTAGATTGGAAAGATTTATCCCGCTCGGGTTTTGACTTTGGAAAAGTCCTTGATAGTATCTCTTGGCTATACCACATTTTTCCATTTCTGAAGTACACCAGATTCCTCTTTCATCCTCGAGCCCCCAAATTATGTTATTTAAACTCCTTGAAGAGGTAACTAAGTGAAAATATGGAGTATTTTTATCCCCTACTTTTAACCAATTAGTACGAGACTTTTGTTTCCAATATATCTCTTCTCTTTTATATTGGATGGACAAGTTCTCTTCCAAGGAGCGAATTAAATTCCAATCCACCATATGTTCGTTCCTGGCTTTTTCTAAAGCAGAGTTCAGGTCATTAATCAATCTAGCTGAATTTGATTGACCTCCTTTACACCAATCCACTAGGGAGTGCCTTACGCGCAACAGTCTAGAGAATAGACAATATTGGACAGAGCCTAAAACTTGTAGCTTCCAAATGTAGCTAATAATTAGCTCAGCCTCCGGCATTGAAGTCCAGCGAATATCAAATCTGAATAACCTTTTAAAATGAGGAGCCAAGATACTAGTAGTCAGCCGAAGAAGTCGATGATCTGACCCTCTATCAGAGAGGTGGTATAGGGAAGAGTTTGGCCAAAAGTTCATCCAAGAAGGTGAGACAAATACTCTATCAATTCTTTGATCAATTGTGATCCTATTCCTGCCCCGATTCGTCCAAGTATACTTAGGCCCTTGGAAATGAGGTTCAAAGAGACCAGTTTGGTGAAGGAAATCCCACAAAGGACGAGCTTTGTCCGTACGCCAAATTGCACCTCCTAATTTTTCTGATGGAAACAGTGAGCAGTTGACATCCCCTATGATTAGGAATGGATCAGATATGCTGGACGAAAATCGTCTTATTTCCTCTAATTGTTCTTGTCTTTTCGAAATGATGTAAGAAAGATAAACTCCAATTAAAACGAAGCGAGGGCACACACCGTAGATAGAGGAGTTATTATTGATGATGGAAATTGCAATAAAAAAGGGGGTGGACCCAATAACAGAGACCGAGGCCGAACGTGGCCAAGCAAACACTAAACCTCCCGACATACCGGAAGGATCAACTATGTGACAATCAGAAAATCATAACGAGGAAATAAAAGATGACACCGTACTCTTTGAAGACATTGTCTCACTTAGGAAAAGAAACGATTTAGCTAAGCAACGATGAGTTTTGAGCATTTGGAATGTCAAGGGACTCCTCACACCTTGACAATTCCACGCGAAGACATTCATTTATCGGATTGGGGCTACTTGGGGTTGGCTTACTCCACCCTTATCTCTTGAACGTTTTTTGGATCTGAATCCACCACGCCTTCTTCTGGTTCCTGGATACATATTCCCACATTTCTTCGAGTGTAGACAATAGGAGATCCCGAGGATTCAATCATGATGGCCTTGCCTTTTGATTTCCCATTTTCGACCGGCCCGATCGCGGAACATGACACTGCAGATTCTAAAGATAGTAAGTGGGCCTCGAGATTTAGAAAGCCCATATCTCCTTGATAGCCAAATGGGTTAGTTTCATCCAAATCTTCAAATAAAAATTCTGGATTTTCATCGCAAAATAAATTACCTAGCCCATAGGAATGGGTTGGTTCCTGTACTTGCAGCGGGACTGGATTTTCCAATATTGGGTCACAGCTTCCTTGCCCATTAAAATTCCCAAAATTGGGTTCCCCTTCAGGCCCATTGTCGGCGGCCCTTCTATCTTCCTGGTTGCTGGAGCAGACTCTTCTACTCAACCCAACATTCAACTCTTGGGCTGCCCTCTTAAGCCCAATCGAGTTGCCTCCATTTATGGACCTTGGGCTTGGGTTGGAGAGCTGGGCCTGCCCTCTGCCCCTTCTTCCTCCCGAATTTCCCCTGCCAGCCACAGAAGCAGAGAAGGCCATGTTTGGTTCGCGGGTTTGGCGTGGCGGCGGAGCTTCCAGGAGCAGTCTTGCTCCAGCTTGGCGCCGCGTATCTTGCCCGGATTGCCTCCAGACATTAAATCCCCTACCCCGTCCACCACTTCAAACTGAAGCATAGGAGAATTCATTGATTTTTGGCCCCGTTTTGTTGCCAATGATTTCCGGGCCGAAGCCGTCATCTCTTGCAATTAACTCGAACGGACAGTTGTGTTGGTTATGCCCAATTCTCCTGCATCGATAACACACTGTCTTGACTCCTTCGTATCTTAGAGAGACCCAGAAGGAAGGCCCGGCCGATCCATCCGGATTCCTCTTTCTTGCTTCCAGTCTATGTTCAAGCGGAGCTGAGACATCGATCTTCACTCTAGCTCTGAAGACGCATCCCGGGCTTTCCCAGACAGCATACATGGCCGCATCCTCCACGGTGCCCAGCCTTGCAGCCAGTAAAGCGCCAAGAGCCACTGTTCGATATTCCTCTGGTAAATTCCAGAGTTGTACCGAGTATGGCACCCGAGCCAATTCCTGGAATAATTCTTCCGAGGGAGTCTCCCACCTTTTGAATGTGAGGATTTTCGATTGGATGAACCAAGGAGCCTTTCCGAGAGCCTCATTGTAATCGACTTGGTTTGCAAAGACGAATTGAAACAATCTGAATCCGGCATCCAATACCGTTACCGCCGCTCTTTTGGCCCAGATGTTATTGGCCATGTGTTGAGCTCTGATTCGGGATGGATGGGATGAGCAGAGGAGACGTCCCACGAGACTCAGTCTTGCTTTGTTCAGCCCAGCCTCCAGAACCTCGTCTGTAAATTCCACAGGAGAAGCCATTGGAGAAGAGTGAAGGGAAGGGGAGGCTCTGTTTATTGAGAGGGGAACAGGGGAAGTAGAATCGAAAATGGGAAGCTAAAGAGATTAAAGGACAGAGTCCGATTTGCTTACATGACATTTTTTATGGTTTTGCATATTCTCAGCTTTTATGACATTTTTTATGAAGATTCCTAAAATACTATGTCATTAATTTGTTATGAAATTTCACCAAGAAATGTAACTAAAAAAATTTCACCAAATTTTTTTTCTGTTTTGAAATGACGCGTTTCATTATTTCTATAAACTTACTGGGGTCGATCTATTTTCCCGATGATGTAGCTAGCCGTAAGTGCATTTCTCATGTTCTCCCTTTTTACTCGCACAACGAAGCGCCACCATAATTCGGGGTTGTCACACCGGTCGGTGTGCCACCGGTTGAATCTGGTTCAACAGATATCAATCATAAAACCGGCGTGACATTACCGGTATGACCGGCATGATCGATATACGAATCTCTAAGTAAAATGACATTATTTTAGTGAGTTTAATTGATAAAAATAAATTTATTATTTATTTTATGAGTATAAAAGTTAAATATTGATGTTATTTGTTGGATTCAAGTATAAATGTCTAAGTATTGACGTTAAATGTCATTTTTAAATATGATTATTTATAATTTTATTTGTAATATTGACTGGAATGAACCGGTACAAACCGGTATGTACACCGGTCGAACCATTCCACCTGCTAAACCAGCACACTGGCATAAACCGGTTTGACAACCTTATTCGCACCCGATTTGCCATTTATGTGCATAAACAAAAGTGCAAGTCAATAGTAAAGAGAGTTTTATTATCATTTCTTCTAGCTACCTACCCAGAGCTCGCTATGAAAATGGCTACTTACTCATCATCGCCATCATCATCATCCCAACCACAATATCTATTAATGTTGCCTGAACACCATGTGAAGTCTATGATTGGGTTGCAAAGCTGTTATTTTCTTACATCTTTTTTGAACTTCCTGCAAGAATGGAAACTATATTTTTTTTCCGTTGAATCAGTTGCATTTGTATTACCCAAACTATATGCAAAGTACATATAGTGACTGATACAACGAAAAGGGTTACTCAAGGCAAGTAACCCTGCAGAGAAGCAAAGAATCCCCCCCCCCCCCACCCCCACAACCCCCACCTGACTACTCAACACTCTCCAAATCCCCAAATCAACCTATAGGAAAACCAGCAGCCACCAGGTCTGCTTGTAACTCACTGTCTACACTACCCAGGTACATTAGATCAGAAGTAATTAATCTACTAAGAGTTGCAGCATCCCTTGGAGCAATTTGATACTGTCGACTACATCTTTCACGCCACAGGTAAGCAATACAAGCACACCAGAAGATTCCAATTACCCTCCCAATCGAGGAATTCTTCTTACTCAAAGCCACTGCAGCCTGCACATTCCCCTGCCAACTCGGTCTACAAAGCAGATGACCTTCTCTCCAACAAGAAACAACCTGCAAAGAGTAAGAACACTGAAAAAACAAGTGTTCTCTGGTCTCCAAGGCCCCCTGCAAAACAAGCATGAGCCATCCAAGATCTTACCCCATCTTACTAGTTTATCCCTGGTAGTAATGCCCTCCATCAGAACCAGCCAAGTAATCAAACTGTTATTAGGAAGATGCTTCTTTCCCCAGACCAGTTTTGACCAATCCACCTTTTGATGTTCAATACGCAGAGCATTCCACACAGTGGATACCTTATATACTGGCATCAGTTTACCATCCCAACTAGGAGTATCACCAGCCTTTGTTAGATGAGCTTGAAGCAAAGGTCGAAGCTTGAGGACCCTTCTCCATGCCCAAGAACTACTTGGACTCACATTCATAGTCCATACACTACCCTGTTTGACTCTATATCTCCACATCCAAGCCACCCAAATTGCCCCACTTTTCATCATAAGAAGCCAGATCATTCGAATAGTACAGGCTCTATTCCAAGCCAGGAGATCCTTGATGCCAAGACCCCCCTCTCCTTTTGGTCGAGCCACTCCCTCCCAACCAATTTTTGCTCTACCCTCATTTCCCCCATGCCAAAGGAATTGTGAGCAAACAGCATACACCTTCTTTAAAACCTTTTTAGGTAGGAGGAAAACTTGCATCCAATATTGCAGGATGCCCATAAAAACAGAATTAATCAGCTCAAGTCTACCTGCATAACTCAGTTTCTTCGCACGCCAAGTCCCAATCTTCTGAGTGATTCTCCCAACCAGTCACAATCAGCTGAGGGAGAGTTTTCCTGAAAATAATGGGAGCCCCAAGTACCTGACTGGGAGTTTTCCCTCTTGAAACCCAGACAACTGAAGAGCATTACTCTTGTACAACTCAGATGACCCCCCAAAATAAATTTCACATTTACTCGGATTACATTTAAGTCCATAAAGAGAATATAACTCAGATAACAGCTCCTGAACTTTGCATATTGCTTGTGCAGAACCTTCTGTAAATATCAGAAGGTCATCTGCAAAGCATAGGTGAGTTAAACCTATGTGTTTGCACTGAGGGTGGTAAATCAGTTGCTTCCTTTCAGCAGCTCTGTTAAGTAGAGAAGATAGTCCTTCCATAGCAATGGTGAAAAGGTAGGGGGAAAGGGGATCCCCCTGCCTTACCCCTCTTTTTGCCCCAAAGAAACCACAGAGCCCCCCATTGATGCAAATACTGAACTTAGAGGTTTTAACACATAGTTTAATCCAGTACATGAACTTGACAGGGAATCCCATAGTTTCCATCATTAAAAACAGATAATCCCAGTTTACTGAGTCAAAAGCTTTCATCAAGTCTATTTTGATTGCACATCGAGAGGAGAGATTCTTTCTACCATAACTATTGACCAATTCCTGAGCCATAAGAATATTATCCACGATTCTCCTCCCTTCTATAAAGGCTGATTGATTATTACTTATAATACTAGGGAGAACCCTCTTCAGTCTATTTGATAGCAGCTTAGCAATGACTTTGTAGAGTATATTAATGCATGAAATGGGCCTGAAATCTTTAAGTTTACATGCAGAGGTTACCTTAGGAATCAGAGAAACAGCAGTAGAATTAACACTGCTAGGAAGCCTGCCAGAGGAAAAGAAATCAAGGACTGCTGCTGTGATATCCTCCCCAATGATAGACCAAGTTTTCTGAAAGAAGCCCGTAGAGAATCCATCAGGGCCAGGTTCCCTATGTGGATTCATGTGCATGACTGCTATTTTAACCTCATCAGAAGCGACAGCCCCACAAAGTATTGACTTTTCATCCTCAGACAGCCTTTTAGTAACCAGAGCCTCTAGCTCCAACTTATTTGGACTCACTGCCTGATCCACCATCCCAAACAAAGTCTGATAGAAATTCACTACTTCCTCAGGTATAAGCTTAACATCTGTAATCTCCTCTCCTGAATCCAGCACAAGCTTTCTAATAGCTTTCTTGGCAGTTTTGATTTTAACAGACTGATGAAAATACCTGGTACCTCTGTTTCCCATAGTTAAAGCTCTAATTCTGGCCTTTCTCCAATACAACCCTTCCTCGGCTACCTTCAATTCCTTCCACTTCTTCAATTCCTCCCACTTCTTCTGATGAGCAGTAACCACTGAGAAATTGTCAGTTGAAGGAGCTCTCATAGCCTCTTGCTGAGCTGCAAGATAGAGACTCTCAGCCCTCTTTACCTGACCACTCAAATCCAGGAATGCTTCTTTATTCAATTTCTTCAAACCCTTCTTCACCTCGTTTAGCTTGACCTTGAATCTATGAATAGGCACTCCCTGGACCTGAGTATCCCACCCCTCCTTAACAATCTGCATAAAGTTAGGATGTTCAGACCAGAAGTCAAAATACTTAAAGGGTTTAGGTAGTGTTCCCTGGTCAGGTTTGGTAGAAACTAAGATTCCACAATGGTCTGAGAAGGAGCCAATAACCACTTCCACCATACATTCTGGAAATGCATCAAACCACTCCTCATTCACCAACACTCTATCTAGACGTCTCGCAATAGGGTTCTTCTCCTGTCTATTTGTCCAGGTAAAATGTGGCCCAACCACTCGATGATCAAACAACTCCATGGCAGACACCCAACCTTTAAAATCACCCATACAACTAGTCATATCAGTTAGATTTGACGTATCAGAGGGGCAGAGAACCGCATTAAAGTCTCCCCCCACAATCCAAGGCATAGAAGAAACCTTTAGAGGGGTCATAGCATTGTATGTAACTCTACGCTCAGCCTCTTCATTAGAACCATAAACACCAGTAATAAAACAAGACTCCCCATCACTACTTTGGACCAAAAGATGCACAAAGTGCTTACCAGGCGACAAGACCCTTGCAGTAATCTTATCAGGATTCCAGTATACCCATAGTCTCCCCAAATCACTTTCAATATAATTCAAGAATCTATGCCAGCCAGGACAAAAACTCTCAGCAACTTCCTCAGACTTGTGCTGTCTTATTCTAGTTTCAATAATGACCACTATATCTACATTATAACTACGCAGAGTTTGGACAAAACCCTGTCTCTTAGAGGGTTTGTTAAACCCTCTAACATTCCAGAATAGGATCTTCATGGCAGGGGCGGGGAGGTAAGCCTCCCACCTTTCTTGCTACCTTTGTTTGGTGCTTCCTGAAGTTTAATAACATCATCCTCATTATACTTGTTAAACACTTCAAAATTCCGAGCCATGTTCAATACACTCTTAGGACTGGGGCTAGGGGACCACACTCGATGTTTACTTCCATTCACCACAAGCTGAAAATCATCTTCTGAAGGGAGATGAGGAGATAGAGCAGCCTCCTGAAACTGAGGATCCAGATTTTCACACTGGATTAGATTTGACCCAACCATCACAGAGGTATTGACTGGGGTAACCTCCTGTTCTATCATCTTCTCCTTACCCTTACCCTTATTATGTTCCCCAGCCTCGTTTCCCACCTTGTCCACTAGACTACCTGAGGATACTCCCCCTGAATTGCTTTTCTCCACGGTAACCCTCTCCTGCACCCTGTTATCCTTCCTCACCCAGACTTTCTCTCCCTGTTTCTCACCCTGTTTATTTGCACAACCACAATCCAGCCCAAACGAACAACACCCCTGACAAACAGGAGGAAGAAAACTGTATTCCACACCCACCCTTATCGAAGTATCATCATCAGGCCAGACTAGGACGTGATCAGGAAAGTCCCCAGAAGCACGTAGTTCCACTAAGACCTTTCCCACCCCAAACGTCCACCTAGCCTAGTAGTTTGGTCGACACCAAGAGGTACACCCAACCAACTCCCCATTCGACTCAACCCCTGAAAATTAACATACTCAAGAGGATTATTAGTGAACCTTACCTAGATCGGCAAAGCCTTCCTTCCCAGGTCCTCAACATTAATCCCCGATTTCCATGGACGCAGGTATAGCAGATTATCGAAGTAGAACCAGGGGCCACTCTCTTGTATCCAATCACAGGTGGCCTAGGTAGGCAGCTGTATCAGGAGCAACTTATCCCCCAGAAGAGAAACGCAAACTATCCCATCCCTGCCCCAGATCTTGTTTGCCCACCTCCGTAACACAGGAAGCGATGGAGCTTCATGAAGAAATTGCCCGACTAGGCTGTGCTTCCAACGAGCTGCACCCTCATCGATGACTGTTTTGGGCATACGGAGGCCGTCTTTGTAGACCTCAGGCTTGACATAGCATAGGCGATTCGCCTCAGAGATGCCGAATAGGTCCGCCCAGGGCTTCACCGGAACTCCCTGGGGCGAAGTCGCATTCGGCGGCGATGAAGAAGAGTCCATTGCAGAAAAAGCCAACCTAACTCGCACACCGACGTAGGAGCCGGTGCGACCGGCACGCTTGATCGGAAACCTAGTGGCCGAAAAATTGGGAGAATCCGCTCTCTACTTTCTCACTCCTTAACCCCTTAGTTGAGTAGGTAATACATTTTCTCAACTATATCTTTTTTAGATGTAGCTAGCCTTTTTTTTTTTTTTAATCAACGGACTGCAAAATACGAGAAGTTTTAATATGGCAAACGAGGAAGGATTCAACAATGGAGAACAAAAGAATATCATCAGTTTATCCCTTTTTACTCGCACAAACAAGCCCCACCCTATATAACCGCTAACTTTTGCTATTTTTACACACACACACAAAAAAACGAGAGTCAGTCAATCGCCTTCCTTCTTAAACTCAAGATCCGGTCGTCGTCACTTCTTGTGCCATCTAAAAATGGGTACTCGCACTTACCCAACATCATCACCACCATTCCAGTTCCAATCCCCATTGTTGCCCCACCACCAGCACCATCATGACAGGAACGCCGACGATGTCGCTGTCTCGCCCACGACCGCCGCCACCAATCCTCCTCCTCGACCACCTTTTTCTGTTTCCGACGACACCCAACCGACGTCGGTCGATCAGGACAATAAGGATGATCCCGGCGGAAAGGGTCAAACCCTCGTGGGCGTCATTCTCATGCTGCTCATCGTCGTCCCCACCGGTCTGTTTCTCGGATTTCTGTTGTCAAGTTTTGAAGTGCTGAAGGCCTACTCCCCCAGAGCCGACGTCGTTTCGGCGTTCGTGTCGGTTAGCAATAGTACCAACAACAGCAGCAATGGGCCTACCGCCACCGCGGGCCGACTATTAACAGCCAACTGGGCCATTGTTATCCATCTCGACAACGACGTGAGTTGTTGTCAGTCGGTGCATCTCTACCGAGTTGATGCCTCGGTTTTTCATGGCGACGACGACGCGGCTCAACGCCCGCTCGCATCGACCCAGCGATTTACCGGGTTTAACGGCCCCGATAAAAGACGGCAGGACCACGTCACGTTTTCGGTCCAGTTGGGGGCGAAAGAAGCAGATGTCGGCGAGAGAGTGGTGTCCGCCATTTCCAGGGATTATTGGACGGAATCGGCGGGACAGAGCCGGTTGCGGTTCAAAGCGGTGATTACGGTTTGGGTGCGGCTCAAACCGAACAGATTCCGTAGCCGATTCTACTTAGCGCGGATTAGTTGTGACCCGCTCTGGATCGGATCCTCCGGTATCGTTGTGGGCACGATCTCCAAGGATAACCGGGAATGCCACGTTCACGTGTAAGTAAATTTTTTTTTTTATTTTTTTATTGCTGAGACATTATTATTGTTTTATCGTGCGCGTTTGACAATAAAATATCATGTTGGTTGATTCAGGATTCGAGAAAGCAAGCCAGTGTGGTTAGACAACGGTTGGGTAGTTGGCAGCTTGATCTGTGCAACCATCATTGTTTCTGTAAGTCTATGTATCGTGGGCGCTAAGGTTGGGGTATTCTAGCGGTTGTGTCAGATGGTGACGTATGAACATATTTGATCAAAAGTAGTATTAAAATGGATGAACTCTTAAAAATTAATTACTTTTATTACACACAAAAAATTTCTTCATACCAAGCTGTCAATTGACAAGTGTACGTAGTTATGAGTATTAATCCAAAACTTTGGTATATCTCTTTATCTTGCCTCCGCCTCCAACTTCATCCTCCAATGTTTAGTCTGGATTGAGTTACTTGAATATGAAAATTGAGAAATCTAGTATTTGGAACAGGCTAAATTTATACTATGTTAAGTTTTTCCCGTGTGACAGTCAGCTATAAAGTCTGACCGTTAAATAGATGACGTGGAAATTAAAAAATTTTAAAAAACATTAATTTATTTTTCCACCTCATCATTTCACTTACTTTGTCTATATAATTTATCATATTATTTATTTAATAAAAATTAATTAAATTAATGAAATAATTATCTGCCACATTAGCAATCTCTCGCTCCTTGCGTAGTAACAAGAGATATTGAAATATCGTCAAAACTCAAACCGGCGACCATGAATGTCAAAGTGGATCGACAAGGTTTAGAGGAAATTATCATCATCAAGTTTATTTTAATGTCAAAGTTTGTTTAGACTTTAGTTTGAGTTAATGTTTATCTTTGTAGTCTCCAAATGCTAGCTTGCACATGTTGTCTTGTAGTGCAAAGCTTTTGCCTAGGGTTTCATTTCCCCCCCAACTCATCTTTGTTGTTATGGTATCAGAGCCTCAAAGTTCTAGAGAACCCTAAAATCCTTCTACCCACAAAAACAAGGACTATGTCCAGTTCTGAAAATTTCAGATCATAAATCATTAAAAAAAAATTGTTCTTCTCCATTCCCATCTGTTCCCTACCCGAATCTCCTCACCATCAAAAAAATTCCGCCATCACCATCTCAAATCTTTTCCCATCTTCCCAGAGCAACAAAAACCCCAACTCAACCAAATCCCTTCCATCCTCCGCCGCAAATCAGCACCACCATTCCACCTTTTCTTCCCCAAAAATCCCAGATCCAAAACCCACTCATCCTCATCTCGCCGAGAAACCATTCTTCCTTTCCCACAAATCCCCTTCTTCCGAAAACCCAGATCGACAACCAGCAGATCTGAAATCGTCACGAACAACCACTCTGCTCTTCCCCAAATCAGCTCACTGGAGGTGTTCGCCGTTATCGATCGCCTTTCACTCAATAGTTATTGTCGTTGACATGGCCAAGAAAGGGCCACAGGAGAACCCATTCAAGCAAACGAAGTCGGACGGAGAAGAAGTCTCAGAGGAAGCCCCCGCTGCGGAAGAACCGAAAGCAAAGGAATCCGCCACAGTTTCTTTGGATTCGAACGAACCTGGCACAACCACCATATCGGCTTACCCTTCCCGTCGCGGCAGCCGCGATTTGAAGCGGAACAACAACAAGCAAACAGCAGTTCGGAAAATGAGCTTCGTTCCTGGGGAAGAGATTGAGAATGTTAGAGAAGAAGGTAAGAATATTGAACTCGTTGCTGAGATTTCCCTCTTGAATGAGCAGAGGAAGGCTTTCGAGAAAGTGATTGAACAAATTCTCGGTGATAATGAGTTTCTAAAATTTTTGGTTGAGTGGTTTGTGATTGTGATTGAGAAAAGTGAATTGGTTGTTTGGAGGAGATTTCCAAGAGACAAGAGTCTCAAATCTGTTACTGATTCACAGTAAGCAGAACAGAAGAAAAAAAAGTTGCTAATTTCAGCAGCAACAATAAAATAAAAAGATCCATTTCAGCAAGAGGAAGAGAAGGCAGCAGCCAAAATATGTTGCAGCAGAGGGAAGAAACTTACTCCCCTGTTGAGTTTGAAGTCAAAATTATTCTCTTTGGAATGCTAGCTAGCTCAAAATCAGCAGCAACATATCATCATCAAGTTAAAGCAGAGGGAAGTAGCCAACAGAGCACTCCCCTGCTGATTTCAGATTTTTTTTCCAGATGGAGTGCTAGCTAGCAAAGTCAGCAGCATATCCGGACCACTTTGAAGATCCATCTCAAGCAACAAAAAAGCTGAAGATGTGAAGTTCAGCCAGCTAGCCATGATGCAGCGACAATTTCATTTGAAGATCATCGGAGTGCTAGCTAGCAAAAGAAAAAGCATCGACATATCCCATCAAATTTGGAGAAACTCAAGCTACAAAGCTGAGTTGGGGGTTGAGGAGTTGAAGAAGAATACCGGAAAGCTAGCTAGATACAAATGCAACGGCTTATCTTAGTTAAATTGGAGAAACTCAAGCTACAAAGCTGAGTTGGGGGTTAAGGAGTTGAAGTAGAAGAAGATGAAGATGGGATACCAACTAGCCAAAGATGCAGTGGTATCACCAGTTGAAGAAGAAGATTACAACCGGCGACCATGAATGTCAAAGTGGATCGACAAGGTTTAGATGAAATTATCATCATCAAGTTTACTTTAATGTCAAAGTTTGTTTAGACTTTAGTTTGAGTTAATGTTTATCTTTGTAGTCTCCAAATGCTAGCTTGCACATGTTGTCTTGTAGTGCAAAGCTTTTGCCTATTTAAACCCAAGTATGAATGGGAAACACCCAAGGTTTAGGGTTTCATTTCCCCCAACTCATCTTTGTTGTTACGTAGCTAGCGCCTTCGCCATTTCCTTGTCGATCGGCTTGGCAAAGGCCTCATCACTCTCGTCGGATTTATTGGACTTCTTCGCCTTCTTGGTGATTCGAACCAATTTCGGAGACGAGAGTTGAGCAAGATTAAATATGAGAAAACAAATTAGCAGTCTAGCTCGTTTCAAGACAACCTTTTTGTCCATCAACTTTCAATCATTTTGCTAATCTTCTTCTATAGATCCAAAGTGCTATCTTGATGCAGATGCCATAACGTACATGGCTTTTATTGTTGATTTTTTATTTTTCCTTTAGTGAGCTTCGGTGTTAATAATTTCTTACTTTTTATTCTAAAATTTTGTCCTATCTGACGAATTTCTCCCCGTGAAAAAAATTAATATGTTAGATATTACAAACCAAATTGAAATTGGGCTGCTTTAATGACTGTATCAATGCTTAATAAGAATGACTGGTTTGAAGAACAATTTTGAGAATAACTGGTTTTGAGAACAATTTTGTATATATTCCCTTGCCCACGTTGTTGTTGGGCAGGTAATCTGAATTGAGGACCAATCCTTAGTATTTGGGAATTCTGTAAACAAAATGTGACTCAAATTATTTTTCCTAAATATTTAAAAGATATAAAGCATCAATTAATAAATAAAAATATTTTTTAAATAAAATAATATCTCTCTATTATGATTTGAAATAAAGAGTGACAACAATTTAAATGGAAAGATGTAATTAAAAAATTGATTGTTTGAGAGATTGATAAAAAATGCAAATAAAAGAATCTAAATAGTAACTAAATTAACAATGAATAAACTAGACTCACTTATGAGAACTTAATTGAGTAGAAGATGAAAATAATTTAAGAAAAAGCATATTGTATAAAGTTAAATTAAATTAAATAGGAGAAACTGATAATTTTTTTTTGTCTAAAGTTAAGTATGGTCCAAACTATTTATAATTGATTTACTTATTTTTTTCCTTTCTACTATTGGCTTGTACCTAATTATTCTATTAACATTTAATAAATCAATGTCAATTATTTAATTAATTTAGTATTGTTGTCTTGCTTGTACAAGCAGATTAAATGACGAATTTGAATTCTTTTTCTCCCTTGGAAAAGTTGAAAATTAAGAAAGTTGAAACAATAAATTTAATAATGCTAATACTGATGCATCAACAATCTGACCTCTTTTATACTATTTAGAAAACACGCGACAAAGAATCTGTTCTGTTATATTGTTTGAAAAAAGCCTAATAAACATGCAAGTATTCTCCTAACGTGATTCGTTCCTTCCATTAGCATTTGAACTTAAATTTTTTAATATTATTGTTTTAGACCCATAATCAAAACTCAATTCATAAATTTTCTATAGTTTTAAATTCATAATTGAAACTCAATAGTCCGTAATAGGAATTAGCCATATACATGATGGAGGTCCGGAAGCCCCCATAATTTGGAGGAGGCACTATGCCAGAGGACCTGCGAGCACACCCACAGGAGTCAGGACCGGCCGACCGAACCTGTCTGAATCCCCACATTTTCGATAAAAATACATACACCCATTGGGCGAACAAACAAGAGCCCTCCTCCTTTCATGGCTTCTTCTGCTACCTTGGCTCTCTCCTTGCTTGGAATCCACTTCCAAATAAACTCCCATTCATGGCGCATGTTTCCCAATCGTCTCCAAACGCACCACCCTCCTCCTATATATCCGCCTCCCTCAGAGATGGGTCCAATGCCACGGAGCCCCTAAGCGCCAAGACTCTCATCCGCTTCTTGACCTAAACGTTGGTAAATGGCACAGATCCATCTACGTGAGAGTTCTGGGCGAGCTTTTAATCCGTTATTCTTTGTTGCTTGCTCCAACAGTGTACGAACCTCGTCGCACCACGAGGTATTGTCTACGAGTCAGTGACACGCTTCTACCGTCACACTAGAAAGTGGCCAAGTGTAACCACCTACTAATGCGTAGTATAGCGGATTCGGTTCTAATTGTCAATCCGGATCCTAGGTGTGATGACTACTCCGTGAAAGTCTTATTATCTAGCGGTTCAAGTGCAGTGAAGGTTCAATTAAACTAGCAAGCAAAGCAGTGAAAGTTGTGTTCAAGTTGAGAGAGGTCACCCAGATATGGTTTCCCCTAGACTGCAGTTAAGCCAGGTTGTAATTTACCAAGTTCAAGTTCAATGATAGTTATACTGCGGGAGGTTCTTAAACAGTCTACAGTCTCGACTAAAGGTCTCCAGACCCTCTCAATCTGAGTTCCTAACGGGCGGCTAACCTCCACCCGGCGACAAATATGAGATGAATTAAATAAACTAAGTGACTAAGATGAGCTCTCTGCCAATGCTTGTTGAAAATCAATCAGTTGCCCCACTTTAATCCGGAAAAGAATAGATGATGATGTGAAGTGGAAGTTTTGCCAAAGGAAATGTAACATTTAACTTCATCGCCCACACTAAATCGTTACTAATATGATATAATAAGGTTTTTTTAATAGATATAGTCTTCTTAATAACAAAGCAATGATCAGATTATTTGGGAATGTAAAAGACGGAATTATTTACAAACATCAACTAATTAAATCTTATTTTTAGCTAATCAAGTAAAGAAATCCGAACTATACAATATAATTTCTCCACTTTTTGCTCCCCCACAAATAATTCGTCTAAGATTGTCTTTGGCGATTTCCAAATATAGTACAATCTGTTATCGCACTTAGATTAAGGATTCAAAACCCTAGCTAATGCAGAGTGCCCATTTGAAAATGTGTTACTGCTCATCCTCATCATCATCCCAACCCGGATCTCCATTGTTGCCCCAACATCACGATGACAAGTCGACGTATGCAGTCGTCGATCCCACAACCACCAACGATCCAACGCCACCGCCGCTTTCTCCTGTTCCCGACGACAGCCTACCGGCGGCTGTTGATCCGAACAACAAAACCAAATCTTTTGTTCATTGTTTACCCTCTTGGGAAGCCGCTTTGTTGGTGTTTCTCGTTGTGCTCATCTTTATAGGTGTTCCTGCCATGGTTATAACATATGGGCAATTGCGACCTTACTCCCCCCATGCCGACGTCGTTTCGGCCTTCGTGTCAGTCAGCAACACCAACAACAATAGTAGTGGGCTTACCGGCACTGCCGGCGGCCGGTTATTAACAACCAACTGGGTCATTGTTCTCCATCTTAAAAACTACGTCGGCGACTGTTGTCCATCCCTGCACCTCTACCGAATCCAGGCCTCACTTTTTCGTGCCGACGGTCATCGCCCGCTCGCATCGACCCGACAATTCACCACACGGAATATCGACAACGCAGTGCATGACGGGCACGATATGACGTTTTCGATTCAATTTAAAGCAGAAGGAGTTGACGTCGGGAAGCACGTGGTGGCGGCTGGCATTCCCGGCCGGGATTATGGGACGCGAACCACGTTGCGGTTCAAAGTTGTGATTCTGGTTTGGGCACGACTCAAACCGCAAGCATTACCTGCCCGGTACTACTTAGCTCGAATTAGTTGCGATCCGTTCTGGATCGGATCTTCTAATATTGGGATAAGCACCATCTCCTCAGATCACAAGGAATCTTGTCACACCCACGTGTAAGTAAAACATTTAATCCCATATTCCTTCTTTTTGAACTAGATTTTTTTTACCATAAAATGACAATACAAATTCACTCCTCTACAATTAAGCGGATGAATTTAGACATGGTCACACACACCTAGATATATCATATTGGGTGGAGTATTGCAATTTTACGAGGGTTGGGACGTTGGGTGAACTGGCGGAGTCAATGTTATAGAAGATGGGTCCCGGTCCGAGAGAACATGTGTAAGTATAAATACAATTATATTACGTGTTGATAAATTTTAATCATGAATCTTAGGGGTGGACAACAGGAAACGGGTATTTGGGTATACTCACACCCGTCCCATTTTTTAGGGTTACGGGTACCCAAATACCCGTAATTTTCTTTACGGGATGGGACTTGGGATCAATAATTTCTACATTGGGTACCCACGGGTTACCCGTTAATACCCGTTTGGGTAGTATGGGTACCCGTAATACCCATTAGCAAAAATTTCCTACAATACATAATCAACAAGTTCGTGCAAGGGTGATGGCGGTAGGGGTGCACGAAGGTGAATGGGTTTTGATACCTTAATGCATGTAATTAAATTAGCCAATGCTGGCATGCATGTATTGAAAGATGGGGTAAGTACGTTGGTGAACTACTTGGGAGAAAAAGGGAAGGACGAGAGTGTTGGGGGATTAAAGGGATTCAATTATATATCCAGTAGGTTTCTCATTATTCGACAAGGAACTTGATGCTGCTGTTTTGGAGCCCAAGAAGTTGTTGCTGTGTGTTAAATGTTCGCATTGCTTGTAGCTTCTCTTTTACTTTTCGTATAATGTAGTTTGTAGGTTTGTTTAATTGTTTAAACAGTAGGTATCTCATTTATATGACAGTAGGCTTCTGTTTAACTCTCTTTAATTGTTTAAGTGTGTGTTAAACTACTGGTGGCATAGTAAATTGGTATTTGTTTTAATTGGGTGTTAAACTTCTGTGGTCCTCAAGTTTTGCCACCAATTAAACGGGTATATACGGGTAGTTTGGGTACCCGTTACCCATACGGGTTTGGGATATGGAATAGAGTTTCCTATTCAAATAGGATTGGGTACCCGTTTTAAACGGGACGGGTATCTCGTCCTGTCCCGTTGCCCACCCCTATTGAATCTTTGTGATATTCGAAATATTTCTACCGTCATACTACAGCTAAATAGTGACCTTAGTTTATCATTAATTTATATATAATACATTCTAGTTTCTACATAAATAATATTAAAACAAAATAAAACTTTATCTTTTAGGTCTCAAATTCTTAATTTTGTTCCTCTTTTTCCACAAAATCCTTCTTTTGTTTAAACTTGATAGCTTTTTTATCCTAATAACGAGTCTCTCATTAGTGATATCTTATATTTAGAATTTCATCGTCATTGAAATAATACTGAAATACCACTGATTAGGTGGAGTAAGATAATTTGAATTCGAAACGAACACTATTAAGGAAATCTTTGACAATATTATTTTGGAGAAATCACAAAAAGGTCGTTTTGATAAGGGTTTTAAATGAAAAATTTCGTCCAAATCTATCATTCAATGAATTTGACCAAATAACATGTTTAAGCTAGAATTACTACCTTCACTATCGACTTGTTCTGCTGGATCCCCACTGTTGGAGTAGCAAAATATCAACTAGATTTAGAAGGAAAAAGATGATACAATCATACGAAGAAGAAATGGAAATATATAGAACTCTCCATATATATTATTTCTCACTGAAATCCATAAATGATCAAACATGCTATTTGGGCAAAATATCTGAAAATTTTAATTGAGCGATTTGATTTGAGCTCAAATCTCTCATTTGTATATTGCCTCATCCAAACAATCCATTATGTAAGCCTTCGATTAGCATTAAAAATCAAATTTGGTGAAAAATAAGAGGTGTAGATAATGAAATTCTGAATAGAATGAAATTCATAGTAGGTCTTGGAATTTGATGGTTGACCACATCTGCTTGTGTTTTGACTTTTGATGAATTGGCCTCAAAGCAATGAGCACATGCTCACTAATCAATATACTTATTCACGCCATAGTGGATTGGTTTTTATTGAGTGAATTTAGAAATGATTCGTTCTAGACTAATCCCACATTATTAGTTGAATCTTTTCCCTGTCTGTGTTAATGTATTTTTATCTTATGGTTTAACACTGTATAATCACGTTATTTGGTTGAGCAGGATTCGACAAAGCAAGCCGAGTTTCTTAAATTCGAGTCGAGCAAACATCAAAGACGAGAAAATAAATTAGCTGTCATGGAGAACATTTATTGTATTGGGCGGATTTCTTCCAGCAACGAAAATAAATATTGTGTTAGTCCTCTACCAAAATTGGGCTCAAACTATATTTTTATTTCCTTACATAATACATTATGTATTACTTAGAGATAACAATCAAATTCATGATCGCGGGTATTCAAATTCTCCAATCCAGTCAACGAGGGAATTCCCGCTTTGACCAGGTATGGGGCAGATATGAGTAAAACCCGCAAAAAATTTGATGGGTATGGGGCTGGTATGATTTTAGCCTCCCCAGCTTCATACACATACCCATACCCGCCTCACCAAGAAAATTTCTTCACGTATAAAAAATATATGTGGATCAAATTGTAACATATCAATTATAATAAGGTAAATCGAAAAAATAAATAGTAGAAATGCAATTGAGTGGCCACTTAATCAAAATCTAATTCATTTCCCTCAATTCTCTCTTCACTCTTTCACTTTCCTCCTAGTCAACAAGATTATGTTAGTTAATTATTACTTAGTAGATGTATCGGAGTTGAGGGAACAAAGAGAATTTCTTGATCAGGTACATATATTCATCAAATAAATTTTGTTATGATGGTGGTCAATTAAATTAGGGTCTGTCTTGAAAGAATTGAATATCAATAACTCATTTTTTACCTATGATTCTATTCTATTTACTAGTTTATTCCCGAATTTAGACTAGACCTCTCCTAGTAGTTCATTCATAAACGATAAATTGGAGTTATCTATGAGGTCTAGTCTAAATTTGAATTCTATTAGAATCTATTTACTTTCCATATATTTGATTTATAATTTATTTCCATAGATATATTCTTTTTAATAATTCGAAAGATATTGTACTCTATATTATGCATTAATGGATGTTTTGGATCATATTCTTTGAACCGTGTTAAGAAAATGACAGTATTTTGTTGACTTAATGATATATTATGTTCGTTTAGTGTTATAATTAAAACATTTCTTGTAAAATTTTATGTATAATAATGCGGGATGTACGAAACTGATACTTTCCATAAGTTATAAGTATGTGAAACCTACGAATATGAGAATACATTTGCAAAACATTCACCCGCATCATTATGGAGCGAGTAAAGTATGAATTTGAGTATTTAAAAAAGAGAAATGGATGGTTTAGGCAAACTCGCCTTCTATGCTACTGTTGGGCCGTTAATCTGTTTCCGAACCCCACATTGCTGATAAGAATACACCCATTGAAAGGAACAAAGGAAAACCACCCTCCTCTCATGGCTTCTTCTTATGCTCTCTCCTTCCTTCCATTAACTCAATCCCCGAAGCTCTGTGCTCGGAACCCACTTCCAAACTCCCGTTCATGGCGCCCGCGTCCCCCTCGCCCTAACGCACCATCATCCTCCTATATATCCGCCTCTATCGGAGATGGGCCCAATGCCACGGAGCCCATAACCGTTGAAACTCTCCACCGGTTCTTTGAACTCAGCGTTGGCAAATGGCACGGCTCCTTCTACGTGAGAATACTGGACGAGCTTTCAATTCCTTCTTCTTTGTTGCTTGCTATGACTAGAGGGTTTATTTTTTGGCTGTTCGTTTCTTTGGGTTTTCCTTCCTCACAGCAATTCAATGCTCATGGGAAGTTGATGCAAAATGTGAGTACGCGGCTCTCTGCAAGTACCTATGGAGAAGATGATTTGATGAGCCTCATTCAAACGTATGTATAGACGGAAACTCGAACTTGCTTGCTCTGCTCTGTTCGTTGACGTGATTGAGGCAACAATTTGGGTAGAATTGTGCTTCTAGTTTCCGCTCTTTGTGTCTAACAGTTCCATTGCATTCTATCAAGTATCAAATTGATCATTCAGATATGATTTGCTGCCTGAAAAGTGAAAAGTAGTCCTTGGGAGAAATCTAGTTTGAGGTGAAGACACTGGAATTTGGTTGAGACATTCGGTCATAAGTTTGCTGTTTAACATCCTTTTGATATTATGTCTGAGTTTCAATTACGAACCTTGCCTCTAACTGATGGGGTCTATGAGGTTAATCTCAAGTTATCAAGCGTTTGTTTGCAGCGTGAACTAAATAACTAAGCAGATTGTAATCTCACCTGTTTGCTCCTTGATTGCTTCTTGTGGTTCATTCACCTAGTTCTTTCTGCAACTGCAAATATAATCTAATTACTTCTTTGGTCATAATTTAAATCAGGCTATACATAAAACAACCTCCATTGTCAGTCTCAGACCCTGAAGAAGACCCAGAATGGGCAGAATATAAGATCAAAGAGACCAATATGTTCACTGTTGACAGATATCAGCAGGTGAGTTCATATTAGTTCTTCACAGCAAAATGCTACTGAATTAATGATCTGATAAGCATGTGCTTGAAACATCTTACATTGTACTCTATACTATTGGTGTTTCCTACTGAATGTCCATAATGATTAGTCTGCAGATCGGCCTTTTCCCCGACACAAGGGCTTTTGCCTTAAGGTACCAGACTGCTGGCATGCTGGAGACTGTTTTGAGGCAAGGTGTATTGGGTGAAAATGACACAGGAGAAGAGTCTCCCAGGTGAAAGGATCTTGCTTTCACTTATCTCTTGCTTTACTTGCCATGACAAAGAAAATAAAGCACATTGCTTTATCTAAGAGACAACTGTTTTTCTATCTGCAGGAATCTTAAGCTTCCTTCACGAAGGCCGTCTATAGTATGCGAGAATTGTTTATATGCACAAGACATAGATAATAGGCGGGCAAGAGCCTTTCACGTTATGAACCCCGGAGGTGACCTAGATATGCTTCTTGTGTTCCTGGAAGATAGAGGGGATGGGAATCATCCTCCTCCTTCACTTGCCAATCTTGGTGTAAGTTAAAATCACTCAACTGTGAAATTCTCTGTACTGATCTAAGGATATATGGCCTTGGTTTTCTTTTTCTGACAGTAGGGTTTGGTTACATTGATTCCAGGAGAGCGCTGGTAGGGTTGAACCGTTTCTTGGTAGGTGGGAAGGTCATTCAATGACGAAGCGAAGTGGTGTTTATGGATCAACACTTACTGAAGCTGATTGTGTTTCTTTACTTGAGATGAACAATAAGGGTCAGCTCATCCAGGTACGACCATCACTTTAAAGCACACATCCTCTTTCCAGGATTCCCTCTCATCCAGGGGTTTTGCATCATGCCATGAGAATTTAGATTGTCTGATCATTATGGATATATTAGGCTGCTTCATTTGCCTTGCTCACCAGCTGTTGTGAGCTGGCTAGTAGTTCAAAGCTTTAAGTATCTTACGTACGTACCTCTTTGAAAACTGTCATTAGGATATAACATCGACTTCTAGAGGAAGTAACGTCGCGACCAAAGTGCATTGGAGCGGTACCCTGGTGGATAATCTGATCATATACGATGGAGGGTACCAGATAACTCTGTTGCCAGGAGGGATGTACATGGGTTGCCCTTGTGATGTAGCCAAGAGCGTTGCAGAATCCAAGTCGTTTCATCTGGAGTTTTGTTGGCTTGAATCTCCTGGGAAGAGGCAGAGACTGGTTAGAACTTATGACGTCGAAGGTTTGGCAGTATCATCGACATACTTTTCCGAAACTAAAAGTCTAGGTCTTTGATTCTGGGTGTGTTTTGTGTTGGCATGTTAAGAAGCTTGACAGTGGACGTCCCTTGGAATATCTTGTGTTTTGCAACACCAGTGTTCACAAGAATTAGCTCTTCTCAGATAGTAGAATTTTGTTCCCGGAGAGACTTAGCTGGAGAGAGGCAAATTTGTATTCTGTGCATAATTGCGTATGCGTGCAGGAACTGGAAAGGACGAGTCTTTGAAAGGTGAATGATGCATCATTTATGAAATGAAGCAAATTGATGCCGGTCATTTCAATGTTTCTCTTCTGTTTTGTGTCTGAATTTGGCTACGGAGTACGGACGCATATTGGATCACTGGAAGCCCCAATTCAACGGCTTAAGCATGTGTTCACTGTAAACAACTCAGACTGATCATTAGTTCTCAGATTAGTGGACGAGGAGTTGGTATTTGATTTCATATTAATTACATTTTTTTTAAACTACCATTGCACTTGTATACGGATACCATTGCATTAATACAACTACCATTACACCGAAGAAAAAAGTAATAAATATTAAAAATTTATAATTCTCACCCCTCTACGAATGAGTGGATTTGAGCCGAATGAGTGGATTTGAGCCGAACAAATCATTTGACGAACACTGTTTAGTCAAAATTTCAAATATTTTGATAGTATTTTGTAACATTTTGACATCTATCTAATGATGCACACGCTTCTATAGTTTTGACCAAATGTCATCTATTGTAAGTTTGCTTTAATGTTTCCTTTTTATAATTCTTCTTTATGCTTTTATTAATTCATAAAAGTAGCATTATAGTCCGATTGCAAATGTGAAAATAGAAATATACGCTGGTCTATCAATCCATACCTTATGTTATCTCAGAGGCACTTTGTATGGCCCATAATATGGACCGTAATATAACACACTCTCTTTAGTAGGGTTTCATCATTTTGTAGCTCCATCACTTCACAATACCATGATTTACTCAAATCAATTTCTCTCCCTCTTTGAACATCACCCTCATATGTTTTGCTTCCCATATTCTCCTTACCCGTGCACACTCATTGAAGATATTGATTATGTGTTTCTTCCAAATTGTAGAAAGCTGACACACATCTTTCTTTCGAGATTCAATCTTCTTTTTGCTAGGTATTATGTGTTAAGTGGAATGTTCTGGTTCCAAACCCTCTTTCAATTAGGGTTCCAATTAAGGTGTTTAAACGGATTGGTTATCGTGGTAACCATATTAACCAGTAGCTTTCGGTTAATTTGGATAATTGGTTTGATTTGGTTAAATAATTTAGCTTATTTGGTTTAGGTGGTTTGGTTTCAACACTGCTAACCAATGAAACCAATTAACCAATTAATGATACACGTAATATATAAAATTATTTATACTTCCATGCAACCAACCAAACCAAACTTTTGTGACCGTGAGAGCATATGGAAGATGATATTTTTATAGTTGACGTGGCCCATGGGAAACTATGGGATTGGGTGGGATATTTTATTTTATTTTATTTATTGTCTTATGACAAGTTGAGGGTTTTTACTTTTTTGTCAATGATGGCTACAGACAAATACACCTACCATATCAATTATCATCAATTTCTTTTCCCCATAAATCATGATCCATGAAACCGTATAGTACCGGCGGTTCAACCACGAAATACCAGTATCGAAGGCTAAATCGGTAGGCGGTATTTAACGATCTAACGGTTGAACTACGATTAAACCACGGTTTTACCATAAAATACCCTACTTTTGACTTTCCCGATACGATATCCGGTACGGTTTCATGGATCATGCCATAAATACGGGTGACAAACGAAGCGATTTTATTTTTGCCCATTTTCTTAACAAACGAAGCGATTAATAAATAATTGTCCAGCCTGTATTCACCAATTAACTTGAGAATTTCAAATTTGGTATGATTAAAATTAAAATTTTTAGTTTTGTGATTTAATTTAACGAACAACTAACACTTTAATGATTTAACCGGCATTCGCCATAAAAGGTAAATCAAGTGACTCCTATTCTTAACATAATATGAATGGCTACATCTAGCAATTTCAATACCGTGTTTGACGATCTATGAATATATAGCTAGAACAACGTTTCTAACTCCCAATTTCATCCGGCTTTTGACAAGAAATGAAAAGATCATTGTCCTCCATTATAATGCCATGAAAGCAAACGACTAACTGTGAAATACAATCCCGTCTTCCCTTCTTCTTCAACAGCGAAATATTAATTAATTATATACTTACAAAAAGAAAAAAAGAAAAAAAAAAAAACTTGCGAGTTGCAGATTGGATAGTCAACACCCAGCAAGGGAAAAGCTTCCCTCTTCCCTTTTCCCTCCTCTGAATCTCCATTTCTGAGAGAAAAAAGCAAACGACGATTTCGCTGTCGGAACAGCTCTAACTCTAAGCAAACGACTTGAGATCGGAGCAGAGAGTAAATCAGTTGGTGGGTGGGGTTATAGCTCTAGTAAGGGAGAGTTTGATGGCAGAGAAACGAGACTCTTCCGCATCAACGACGGCTTTGCCTCGGCCTACAACCATCACCCTTCCTCCTAGGCCGTCGATGGATACTTTCTTCTCCGGCGGGCTGAGCCCGGGTCCCATGACTTTGGTCTCAAGTTTCTTCAATGACAGTTACCAGGGCGGTGGAGAAGATTGCCGGTCCTTCTCCCAGCTTCTCGCTGGAGCTATGGCTTCTCCGCTTGCTAGGCCTCCCTTTTACCCTGACTTTTCTCCCCAAAACCCTCCTTCCACAGCCGCCGGCGGTGGCTTGTCTTCTACACAAGATGCTGCTGCTGCGGCTGGAAGTGGTGGGTTTGGGTTCAAGCAGAGCAGGCCTATGAATTTAATGGTTCCTCGGTCTCCTCTATTTACGGTTCCACCTGGGCTGAGCCCTTCTGGGTTGCTTAATTCACCTGGGTTCTTCCCTCAGGTAATTTTTCTGCTATTCTTCTCTGGTTTTGTAGGTTGGTAGTTAATTGGGATGATTAGTTAGCTGGCCTGTTCCTCTTGTTAGGTTTAGATTGTTGAGATAACTCTTGAAATAGGGCGAGTTTATCTAAAGCTTGAATCTTTCAGTTTCACAAATGAAGAATTTGGCCACCAGTTTGGACTGCTAATGGAAACTGGAGTTGTCCCCCATTTGTTTGTAGCAATTGTACTCCATTGTAGGTAGATATACTTCGTGCCTCCAAAACATAGGAAATGTATGGTCTTTCTGTTTAACCTTTAAGAACAATGTTTCATTCTGTTCTTTTCTCCTATGTTTTCTTCGATCTTGTTGTGATTTCATGTTTCAAGTTGAGGAGTTAGAAGTTGCTAATTAGCTTAGCATGTTCTGATGCTATATAACTATATTATTTGTTTGCACAATTTGGCTTAAGATGAAATATCTTCTATCCATCATGTATTACTGGGAATAGATGGATGGGATATTTCATTATGTTGATTTCTTGTGGCTAATGTTTGTACTTGGAATATGCTGACTTCCAAACATGTGAGAACATAAATAATGTTCGTTACATGTGAAATTAGGACTTGATTGTATCATTTACTATCTTGAACTTTTTCAGAACGTGATATGTAGAATATTCATGGACACAAAAACTCGTTTCGAGGTGTTTATATATGTTCCCTTATGTGTATGCAGTCTCCCTTTGGGATGTCACACCAACAAGCTTTGGCACAGGTGACAGCACAAGCTGCACTCGCTGCTCAATCTCAGCATGTGCACATGCAAGCCCAATATCAACCTTATTCAGGGACCACTCCATTGCAAGTAGCGCCAATCCAACCATCTTATACTGCTGAGGATTCACAGTGGCAGATGCCACCCACAACTTCTAACCCTCAAACTACTGCGGTGGAGCCATCTTCTGAGGTTTCTCATTCGGATAGGAAATATCAGCCACCTCCTGTTGCTGCTGCTGCTGCTGCTACCGCTACTGCTGATAAACCTGGCGATGATGGCTATAACTGGAGAAAATATGGGCACAAGCCAATTAAGGGCAGTGAATTTCCGAGGAGCTACTACAAATGCACACACCCAAGCTGCCCTGTCAAGAAGAAAGTAGAGCGTTCCAGAGAAGGTCAGATAACTGAAATCATCTATAAAGGTCAACATAATCATGAGCTTCCTCAAACGAATAAGCGTGCCAGGGGCGACAACAGTGTTCAAAATGTGACCATCAGTTCACAGGCTAAAAGTGAACCTGTTACACAAGCTCAGCTTGGTGATACTAATAAACTTGATCAAAGTGCACCGCCTTATTCCGGGGATGGTAGGGATAAAGGATCCAGTCAAATGAACTTTGTAGAACAACCTGAACCTAGTGGCTGTGGGGAAGCTGCTGGCGATTCAATAGCAATTGAACAAGATGGAGCGGATGACGCTCCTAATCCAAAGAGAAGGTAACTTTTTAAGCTAAGAGGTCACTTGGATATTGGAATCTTGAAATGAGGTATGAATGGCGAAATATTTGGAATTTTAATGGATGGAATTTAATCCATGATAGATTTTGAAAATGTTGTTGGATGGACTACTTGAGAGAAGAAATTGTAAAATATGGGTAAAAAATTACTAAATTGATGGAATTAACAAATCTTACCTTCCAATGAGATATTTTGGAGGAGAGATTGTCCAATTCCATCAAGTTGAGATCAGTCTTTTTGGACATGCAATTGAATTAACGATTTCCTTCAGCTGATGGAATTCAAAGCCAATTTCACCCTGATCCAATTGTCCGCTTAAAGACGTCTGCATAGCTTACTCCTGTCATATGGCTACTTTTACATGCATTTGTTAAGAAGTTTCTCATGGTGTAACTACTCAGGCAAATGGATGCGGCAACATCCGAGGTAGCTTTATCTCACAAAACAGTGACAGAGGCAAAAATCATTGTTCAGACAAGAAGTGAAGTTGATCTTTTAGATGATGGCTTCAGGTGGCGCAAGTATGGCCAGAAAGTTGTGAAAGGGAACCCACATCCTAGGTATTTTGTTGCTCTTTATCCATATTTTTCTTATCATCATGCTTCATATATGGGACATGTAGCTATCCTGTGTGTTCCTACCTACTAGTGACTTGCGAATTCAGTCTTAATTGACATGGGAATGCTTAAAGCTGGTTAAGGTTTTCATTATTCTCAGTTCCGGGTCCTTGTTTGTAAAGCTACTGAAGAAAATTCGCAGTCAGATGCTAACGCAAGAGATAAATTGTTTGTGAAACAGGAGCTACTACAAATGCACGAGCGCAGGATGCAATGTCCGTAAGCACGTGGAGAGAGCTGCAGCCGACCCCAAGGCCGTTATAACTACGTACGAGGGGAAGCACAATCACGACGTCCCTGCAGGGAGAAACAGTGGCGCTAATACAGCTGCACAATCGAGGCTTCAAAGCACGGCGGTTTCTCAACCGCAGCAGCAGGCTGCACCCGTTGAAGGTGTGAATTTTGTGAACAACAATAACGAGGAGCAAAGACCAGTGCTTCTTAGGCTCAAAGAAGAGGAAGTTGCCGTTTAAGGTGAGGGCAAGACTTGTGCCCAATACACAGCGCAGAAAGAACACGTATGTGAAGAACTTCATGGATTATTTCAAAACTTAGTCAAACATTTTGTGCTCTTTGCTTTGCTATGCTTATACTCTTTTTTGGTTTCCACTTCCCTCTATGTAAAAGGTGTGTTTATTATATTGCTTTTCATTTTATGTATTGTCCCCTGCAAATATGTACGCTGTATGATCTCTGTATAGAACATGACAATACGCTTGGCAAAACCGAAAATGAAAGACAACTGGTTCATTGAATTTGCAGCTACTGGATCGATTGGAATGGTGAATCTTTTGCTTTCTTTCAAAACGTTGGTATTATTGAGTTGGGTCCAGATGGAGCGAACAAATTATAGCTAGAGCAAGAAAAGGAACTGCACTGGCATTTATGCGGTTCAATGTATGCTAGTATCGTCTATGAGTGTAAACCTTCCTTTGAAACCTTAGTCCTCAGCAAAATGAAGCAAAAACAGTCCAAACTAGAAAACACCTATACCCCATTTGGACCAGAGGCATTGCCCCCAAGTAGGGTTGAAAATTACCTTGACCCACCCACAGTTAATTTCGTACTGATCCTGATTGACCCGTCCCTGAAGGGTCAAGGTGTATAACTGACCAGCCTCGCCACTGTTTTCTTCTTGACCCTGTCTGATCCTCTAGAGTCGGGGAGGGTCGACCCTTATCAACACACTTATTTTGCACAAATTACATTTTGATACATAGAATTATTTTTTCTTACAATTTAGTACCTCAAATTTAATTTTTTACAAATAAGTCCTTTAATTTTGATGGTAAAATTACATTTTAGTACCTAAACTTTTACAAATATGTCCTATATGTTGGCATGTATAATTTCATGCACTAGTTGTTGCTAAGGGTCAGAGGATCAAAAATTGACCTGACCCTAAACTGATTCGACTCTACCCGACCCTTACAGGGTCAAAAGATGACCCGACTCTAAACTGACCTTGTCGATAAACTAACTGTTATAAACGCGCTGCTACGGATCGGGAAATCGCAGAAATCGACAAAGCAAGAATACGAAAGCGAGAATCGAAAACACGACACACGATTTACGTGGTTCACTAACACGATGTGTGTTAGCTACGTCCACGGGCGAGAGAGAGTCAGTTTCACTATATCGAGGAGATTACAGATTACAGAGGAGTATGAGAAGTATTTATAGTACTTCTCCATGTGGGTCTAAACCTAATCCAATCTGGCAAAGAAAACGGTTACAGACCAGGCCCAGAACCCGAACCCAAATTACAGCGAGACCCCCGATTACTAGTCGTAGCGGCTAATAGTCCGATTCAAGTCACATCAACAAATCTCCACCTTGACTTGAATCCTCTTCCTCTGAAATCTCTGATGTACTCTGCTCCTTCTCTCTCTCTCTCCCGCCATCAATGCCCCGCAGGGCGGAGTTACCCACTCAAGACATTCGGCAAGTCCAAGCAGTGTTGGAACTTGCCATGTGGAACCGGCTTCGTGAACATATCAGCAGGATTATCCGTGGTGCTAACCTTCTTCACCTTAATCCTCTTCTCTGTCCTCAAGAAATGATACCTCACGTCGATGTGCTTAGTCCTCTCATGGTGGACTTGATCCTTGGCCAAGCATATTGCACTTAGACTGTCGCAATACACCACTGCCTGATCATGATGTAGACCCAGATCACCAACCAGTCCCTTCAACCATATTCCCTCCTTAGCAGCTTCTGTCAACTATATACTCTGCCTCAGTAGTAGACAATGTCACCGCCGACTGCAAAGTTGCCTTCCAGCTCACTACAGAACTCCCAAGAGTGAATACATAACCGGTCATCGATCTCCTCGTGTCAACATCTCCAGCATAGTCCGAGTCAGAATACCCAGACACCAAGCACTCTGTATTACTTCCGAAGCTAATCCCCACATCAGGTGTACCCTTAAGGTACCGGAAGATCCTCTTCACAGCCTGCCAATGCTCCTTCCCAGGTTGTATCATAAACCTGCTGACAACACTAACAGCATGTGCAAGATCAGGTCTAGTGCATACCATAGCGTACATCAAGCTACCTACTGCACTAGCATATGTGACTCTCGACATGTACTCATTCTCAGCCTCTGACTGCGGTGCATAAGCTGAGGATAGATGAACATTTGAAGCACTAGGAGTATTTAAGGGCTTTGCTGAAGACATGCCAAACCTCGACAGTATCTTCTGGATGTAGCTCTTCTATGAAAAGAAAAGCTTCTTCTTCGACCTGTCCCTGTAAATCTCCATACCCAAGATCTTCTGAGTAGCTCCCAAATCCTTCATCTCAAACTCAGCACTGAGAAGCCCCTTTAACTTCTGGATATCAAACTTCGACCTCGCAGCTATGAGCATATCATCCACATACAGAACAAGATAGATCATCGAACCGTCCTCCACCTTGTTGTGATACACACAACAATCATATGGACTTCTGTTGTAGCCCATCTCAAGCATGTAACTATCAAATCTCTTGTACCACTGCCTCGGAGATTGCTTAAGTCCATACAAGGACTTCTTCAGCTTACAAACATAGTCTTCTTTTCCCGGAACCTCGAATCCTTCTGGCTGAGTCATGTAAATTTCTTCCTCCAACTCTCCATGCAGGAAAGCTGTCTTCACGTCTAGCTGCTCGAGCTCCAAGTCATAATGTGCCACTATTGCTAGTAGCACTCTGATCGAAGTATGTCTGACCACTGGTGAGAAAATCTCATTGTAGTTAACTCCTTCCCTCTGCGAGAAGCCTCGTGCAACCACCCGAGCTTTAAATTTCATGCCCTCTTTAGAAGTGATTTCTTCCTTCTTCTTGTAGATCCACTTGTTTGTAACAATCTTCCTTCCCTGTGGTCGTTTGACTAGCTCCCAAGTCTGATTCCTGTCATGGGATTCCATCACATCTCCCATTGCGGCAAGCCACTGATCAGCTTCGCCACCCGAAACGGCTTCTCTATAGGACTGTGGCTCTCCTGCATCCACTTCTTCAGCAACCTGAAATGAATACGCCACCATGTCCTCGAAAACATACCTCTGTGGAGGTACTCCTGCAGTCGCTCTCTTCGGTCTACCGGAAGCAATAGACTGTTGAGCTCGTGCACTGGACTCTGAAGTTTCTGGCTCTGCAGAGACATCCTCATCATGTTGATCTTCTCCACCTTGGTGCTCAAACTCACTCTCTTTGAGAGTTTGCAGCTCCACCTGTTTATCAACATTCCTGCTACCTTCAACAACAGTAACCTTCAACATGGGGTTAAACATAGACTTCTCATCAATTATCACATTTCTACTGAGTATAACTCGATGCTCAGAAGGTGAACAGACTCGAAATCCCTTAACTCCATCTCTGTAACCCACAAATACACCCTTCTTTGCCCTTGGGTTCAGTTTACCCTCATCCACATGATAATAAACAGGACACCCAAAAACTTTCAGTGAAGAGTAATCCGCAGGCTTACCATACCACACCTCATAAGAAGTCTTCAACTCGATACCTGTGTGAGGTCCACGGTTGATCAGGAAGCACGCCATGTTCACTGCTTCTGCCCAGAATCTTCTCTCTAGTTCAGCATTAGAGAGCATGCACCGTGCTCTCTCCAACAATGTTTGTTTAATCCTTTCTGCAACGCCATTCTGCTGGGGTGTATCTCTCACAGTCCGATGACGGGCATTCCCTTCATCCTTGCATAATTCGTTGAACTCAGAATGACAGAACTCTAGACCATTGTCCGTTCGCAGCTTCTTGATCTTCTTACCGGTCTGATTCTCCACCAATGTCTTCCACTGCTTGAACTTCGTGAAAGCCTCACTTTTCTGCTTCATCATGAAAATCCAAGTAAATCTCGAATAATCATCAATAATAGACAGAAAATACCTGCTGCCTCCAATGGATTCAACTCGTGAAGGACCCCAACAGTCGGAGTGGAGGTAATCCAGTATCCCCTTCGTCCGGTGGATACCCTTCTTGGGAAACTTGCTGCGATGCAGCTTCCCAAACACACAATGCTCGCAGAATTCCAAATTCTGCATCTTGTGCCCGCAAAGAAGATCCCTCTTCGACAGAACTTGCATCCCCCGTTCACTCATATGCCCCAGTCTCATGTGCCAGAGAGTGGTCATATCTTCCTGATGAACCTGAGATGATGCAACGACAGCAGAACCAGACAACACAGACCCTTGTAATGCATACTAGGTCCCACGCTTCACGCCCTTCAGCACCTTCCTTGAACCTTTGCAGACATACACAACTCCACCTTTTCCTTTGAAACTGAAACCCTTGTTGTCGAGTAGACTCAAGGAGATCAGGTTCTTTTTCATTCGTGGAACATGCCTGACATCATTCACGGTACAGAACGAACCATCATGTGTCTGAACCTTTATGGACCCAATTCCAACAACCTTGCAGACAGCTCCATTAGCCATGACCACGTTACCACCATCTATCTCCTCGTAGGTTGTGAAGCAATCCCTGTTCGGAGACATATGGTATGAGGCTGCAGTATCCAAAAACCACACATCCCCACGATGTGCCTTCTCATCTACAGCCAAGGCGAGATCGTCTTCAAAACTGTTGTCCACTTCTGCCACGGCAACTGAACCTTGTTTCTTCTGTTGCCCTCTTCTCTTGGGACAGTTGTACTTCCAATGCCCCACTTCCTTACAGTTGTGACAAGCATCACCTGGCTATGGATCGAGACCCTTGGAATTCTTGTTCGAATTCCCTTTACCAGATTTCTTCTTTCCCTTTCCACCTGTAACAGCCAAACCCGATGCCTCACCACTTGTACCAGATCCAGACGCCTTATGTCTGATCTCTCTCGTATGAAGAGCAGACCTGACATCTTCCAACGACACGCTTACTTTACCGGCAATAAAAGAATCGACGAAATTCTCATATGAACTCGGCAAAGAAACCAGCAGGATTAGGGCAACATCCTCGTCATCAACTTGAACATCTATATTACGCAGATCCTGCAAAATAGAGTTAAGCTCTTCGAGATGTTCCCTCAAAGGCGTACCTTCTTGCATCCTCAAGCTGAACAACCGTTGCTTGAGATGCAGCTTGTTGGTTAAGGACTTCATCATATACAGACTCTCCAACTTTAACCACAAGCCCACGACAATCTTCTCAGCAACGACTTCAATGATGGCGTCATCAGACAACGATAGCATGATGGTCGAGTGGGCCTTCTCCTCCAGGGTATTCCACTCATCGTCATCGACCGTTGCCTTCTTCTATTTCGCAGACAGCGGCCCCCACAGCCCCTTGCTGTTTTAATAAAGCCTTCATCTTGATCTGCCATATAGCGAAGCTGTTCTTCCCCGTGAACTTTTCGATCTTCATGTTCACCGACGTCATTCTTCTGAATCGAAAACCCTAGCCTGATTTCCAGCCGCAACTCTGATACCACTTGTTATAAATGCGCTGCTACGGATCGGAAAATCGCAGGAATCGACAAAGCAAGAATACGAAAGCGAGAATCGAAAACACGACACACGATTTACGTGGTTCACTAACACGATGTGTGTTAGCTACGTCCACGGGCGAGAGAGAGTCAGTTTCACTATATCGAGGAGATTACAGAGGAGTATGAGAAGTATTTATAGTACTTCTCTATGTGGGTCTAAACCTAATCCAATCTGGCAAAGGAAACGGTTACAGACCAGGCCTAGAACCCGAACCCAAATTACATTAAGCCCATACACCGTGGGCCGGGGGCGTTGCCCCCGCATCCCCACCGGGGCGTTGCCCCTAGACCCCCGATTACCAGTCGTAGCGGCTGATAGTCCGATTCAAGTCACATCAACACTAACCCAACAGGGTCGGGACGAGTCAATGGGTTCTTAGGGTCAATCTTACACCCCTACCCCTAAGTCTGAGATCCAATGCTATCAGCCGAATGAATCATATACCATTGTTGCCGGCGGAATCATTTAGAGACTGCCTGCCAGTACATGCATGGACAACATAACATCGTCGAAATAGGAGATTTACTAAGACCGTTTTTCAGATTCTCCCAAGGTAGTGGCAAACAAATAAAGAAGGAGAGAAGGGAGAAACTAAAGAACACTACCCAATGGAGAGGGAGAAACTAACGAGAGAAGCCTCTACCATTTTAACCTATAAAAGCATGCTCTAGTTTGCCGGAGATATTACCACCAATCTTGAACCTGAAAAAAGGCGGTGAGATCATCATTTCATCGCTCATAATGAGGCATTTCCTTAACTGCACACATCCTGCAGCTGAATTTCTTGTGCTACTACTAATCGTCACCGTAGTCGCCGCCGGGTATTTGGCAGGTTCAACTGGAGCTGACATCTGCGGCACCGGTAAGTCGACTGATCCGGATCCGACGACGTTTGCTGGTTACGTAGATTATGTCCTTGACGATCTAGTGCAAAATACGGCCTCGTCTCCTTACGGCGACAATAAAGGGGCTATCTACTATGAAAAATTCTATCCGGACATCAGTCCCGGCGCCGCTCGAGGCAACTCCATTTGTCATGGTAAAGGTAGTGATTGCCAGAAATGTCTTTCTGATATTCTCAAGTATTTGAAGCCATGTGACGCCTTTACTACAGGATCAGCTCAATATGCAGGGTGCAGTATGCAGTTCCAGCAATATTAATGACGTATGTACCAATGAGTGTATTTGGCTAAGTACACATACTTTGATGTTGTGCTTGTCTCTTGAATCATAACAATAAAGATAAATAATCATTTCATGTCGTGGTACTCGAAGTTATATATCCAATTGTTGCATTTTCCATGAATAGTATGAAATGAATCCTAATCCAATTCCTATGATTCCTGTTTTATCTTAGGATAGAGAATACCTGATAAGGTTAAGAGAGCATTGCCAATTAGAAGTGATGAATTGATTGCACGAGAGTGGAATGATTCACCATTTTGTACTGGATATCGATCCAGTAGAGAGAATCTAGTTTACATTGTCTTGTATTATATTTCAGTGAGGATATATAGTGTCCTGCTGAGCAATCTATTCACGAGGACCTTGATAACACTTTATTTATAGTGTTTACTGTTTAGCACAATCATTCTTGATACATGTCAACGCTTGCTAAAATTGCTCCCATAATAGAGTCAGTGTGTTATGTGCACTTTTGCACGAATGAGCTTCAGGAAGAAAAAATAGAATTTAATAGCGAGAACATAACCCCTAAACTTTTTCGAATAAAGCAGATCTTCCGAATTAACACGTAGGTGTGTAAACCACTTTCTGATTGTACTCAATTCGTTATCTCTTCCTCTATCAATCGTCTACTTTAAATAGAGAACTAATAACCCTACAAATTAGTATTCTGATGGTAATGACTGGTATACTACAGGAGTATAGTATACTCCATATGATCTATCCGTTAGATGTACTTTGATGAGTTCCAACCAATCTCAGTGGTCAATTATAATTTTTCATTAAATTGAACTTCGGATTTGAGTTTAGAGAATCGGGACCTGAGGTTTATCCATTAAAGTTTAGGGTAAAGTATCATACCCCAAACTCGGTTAAATCATGATCTAGATAGAGACATCTCACTAGACATACCTGGAATAGGAATACACTATACTGTAGGAGTACACCAGTCCGACCCTATATATATGACCTACAATTAGTTAGACGCACTCAATAATGCTTTGCTACCATATCCCATCCCATCCAACATTTATAATTCAACCATGATATAGTTTGTCTAGGGAATTAAATAGCTTAGGGTCTTTTTTATTTCCGAGTGATATCAAGAGATGATAAGAGTTATACAAACAAACTACCCAGAAACCTCCCACAAACGATTCCCTAGTGAAACCACCCAATAAAATTGGAAGACTCTAACTCTAGAATAGACAATAATAGTGCTTTACACGCCACTCTATGGGCAACACTATTGGCGGCTCTAGGAACCGACCTAAATAGGCTACTACATAACCCTTATCCACTCATCTCTTGATATCACTCTTATCAACAATAACCCATTTATGATATATTAAAAGAAGAAAGTATATGTAAAACACCACATCCATTCAGAACATATATCGATCCTTTCTTTTATGAACTCTCCTTATTAGGCTACTACATAAACAATCCTTGAAAAATAAATCCTCCATTAATATATGGTAGAATTTTGTGTACTTTTCTCCATTTCAAATTTTCTGCAACGAGAGTGAAAGTAGAAAGGTCATTTTTGTCTTTACACATTAATTATTTATTTCATATAAAAGTAGCAATATCAAGATTTGAACCCGAGTCTCTTCAAACAAAGACAACAATCACAACCAGTTACACTAAACAAATTTATTGCATCCTTTTTGATAAAAAAACATAGACGAAGTTGAACCCTGAAAATCAGAGGACTTTTTCATCATGATTAGCAAGCCCACTAAGTCTATCGTATGTATTTTTATCGAGCTTGATACTTCTATTTTCAAAGTAGAGTTTCATGTAACTTTCTCAATTTTAAATTCCTGATCTCTCCTCAATTTTTGCTAAAGGTAAATTGGTAATTGGCTAACATGGAAGAAACTAATTATGTTACTCCGTGTTGTATCCTTGCATTTTTCAATTTAAATTTAAATTTTGTGCTTTTTTATTTTGTTCTTTTCTCTTTCTAACTTCCTCCAAAATTTCATCCATCGTGCAACCCTTTCACTTCCCAGTACAAGACTGTCATTGAAAATCAATCTTCAGGTATCTCTTGGAACAACGGTTTTATTGTTGGGGATTTAAGCTGGGCGAGTAGAAGATTTCAACTCCGATATCAATCCATGACGAATAGAATGAAGTTCATCAATAACTGAAGTTGTAGAAGGAGGATTAGAAATTAAATTTTTGGTTGAATCATATGCCTCTTGAGATAAAAATTTGGTTGTACAACGGAGAGTGATGACTATTGGATCTTTAGGTTTATGGTTTTTGCAACTGTCACAACCTATTTCTATCTTAAAACGAGGAATCATTGATTGATTGTTTGAAGTAGGTCGCTTCTTTATTCAACCTACTGGAACTGAACGATAATGAGTGTCTAATTTTCCGCCTTATTACTTTGATCGAGTCTATTCGTATATTGGAGGTAATCCTGATTTTTTCGTTTACTCTCAAGTTGTGATGGTCCCCACTTAACTGAGTTCTTAGTATATAGATTATTTGAATCAAGAACTCTCCATTTCTTTTTGATTAGTGATATATTGTTTCTAAAAGGAGAGCATTGAACCCTTTATATAGGATTGTGAGGTTTAAGATTTAGTTTCAAACTATCTATGGGTCGTGTGGGAATTTCAACGAGCTTTTATACTCTATCTTTCTTGACCATCAACTAACCAATAGCATTTTAACGGGGACGTAATTAGCATTATGAAAATGGGATCAATGATACATTTTTATATTTTATATTCTTAAATGATTATGATGTTTCTCCAAATATTCGGCCTATATATATTATTCCTTTATGTATCATCTCGATCGAATGATTATCAATAAGATTAAACGGGTTAATAGATTTTAAAGTAACATAAAAATATAAATAATCAAATATGAGCATTCCGGGCCAAAGGACCAGGCCGGGTTATAAGCTAGTAAAAAAAAAAAGCAAAATGGAGAGTTACCCCTAAAGTCGGGTTTATGTGGGTTTTTCTTATTATCCCTCCTCTACGTGGCATTTGCTCTTTTTTATTATGGTTAATACCATAAATATACCAATCTTTAGCGACATTATCATTTATATTACGAAAATTCAATAATTCAATTAATATTCCAACCTATTAAGAATTAGTGTCATTTGTGTTACGCAAATTTTGATTGACCGTAAAAATTAACAGTTGACCTAACTGTGGACAGCCTTACTCTTACTATTGATGAAGTGATGTGTGTGCTACATATGAAGTGATGTGTGTGCTACATAAGAACACTCATAGGGCTGGGCATGCAGGTTGGTGACCAGCAGATCTGACCCGACTCGATCGCAAAATGACCCAATCCGCATTATGTGGGCCGGTGGGGGATAGGATAAATGATGATCCGCAGGAGGTGGGTGGTTCGCGGGTCACCCGCAAACCCAATCACCATCGTACATCATAACACTGTTGTCGTCTGCCGGATAGGTCTCGTCTTCTTTCCTTACTTCTCCACTCAAACCAATTGACTTCTTACCATATTCTATATATAAATTTACTTATATATATACACACATAATTATATATATATAGAGGTTGCTTAATGGATGTGTTGGTTAAGGAATCACCACTTTCATTAATCAATGATGTTAATCTTATTAATTGATAATTTACTTGAATTTCATCTCTGTTTTTGAAATATGAGTACAAATTGTTTTCTTTTACTATTATTTAGCTTGTTGATGAGTCATATCTTAGATTTAGACTCGTGTTCAATTTTGCAGATTCCAATTTTATGAGTACAATCGCGTTTTTCAATTTCCTGAAGTCTCTACAGGTATATTTGCACTCATGTATAACCAGTTTATGCCGCTGCTATTATTTTATTTTGTATAGATGTTTCAATTTTTTTATTACTTACTATATTGTGGGTGAATCCGACAATCCAACCGCATAATCCGCTATCCGCCCGACCCAACCCGATAGTAAGTGTGGGTGGGTGGCTGGTTGAAATTTTCCAATCCGTTTATGAGTGGGTGGATTACTTTTATAGTCAAAATCCACCCAATCCGTCCGTTGCCCACTCCTAAACACTCAACCCTCACAAAACCTCACTGATTCACTCCAAAGAAAAGTCTCACGATCCCTCTCAAAGATCAACCAGGCTCTGATACCACGTGTAGAAAAACAAACAATATTTTTAATTTCTAGCAAAGAACATAATGGTAGAATAGCAGTTTTTGAACCCAAACAGGGGCTGAGCTTCAGTGCTTCAGACTTGTTCTTCAGGAAGTAAACCCAGAAGTATCTTGTCATGTCATCAATGAATAACAAGAAATACCTACTTTCACCCTAAATTCCACCTTAAAAGACCCATATATATCAGTGTGGATCAGCCCAAGCTTCACATGAGATCTCCAAGTGTGTTTCTTAGGAAAGGGCAACCTGTGTTGTTTTCCAAGCTGGCATATTTCACACACACCTTCATTCAACTCAAGAACAGGTAAATCATTTACCAAACCATCCTGAGCCATTTTAACCATGGTATGTTGATTGAAATGACCTAGCCTACTATGCCATAGAGCTGACTGATCATTTCTAGTCACTACAACCATGTTGGCTGTTTTCATTTCAGGGCAAAACTCCTTTGAATCATAAAAAGATCAAACAGTTTGTCTCCCTTAGAATCATACACAACACATGACTTGTTTTGCATTTCCAAAGAGTAACCCTTTTCAAGCATTTGTCCTACACTAAGCAAGTTCTTAGCTAGAGCAGGAACAAATAAAACTTCAGGGATTACCTTAAGTCCAAAGGTAGTTTGCACGGAAACTTATCCTTTACCTTCAACAGATAGCAGATCACCATTCCCAATCTTCACTTTAGACTTGTGGGACTTGTCTAAGTAATCCTCATTATTTTTCATATGATTTGCCATCCAGTATCCAGAAGCCAGTCCTCAGTGCTGCTTGTAGCTGTGAAACAGGTGACCATGAACATCCCTTCTTCCTTGTTCTGTTCATTTTCTTATGCAATGACCACTTGTTCCCTGATGTTCTTGTTTTTACAGACTTTTTCAACGTGCCCTAGTCTTTTACAT